CTCTCCAACTCTTTTCTGAAGAGGATCCAGAGAGAGTTTTGAATGCTCTAGGTGCCATCAATCTTATGGCTGATGATCTATCAACTAGGCGCGGCGGTACGTTCAACTTTGACCTCAACAAACTGGCCAACCCAGGGGATTATACGGGTCTGAATCTGCAGAAGTGGTACACGAAGCTCAGCTCAAAACTTAGCGGTGTGGAGATCGACCGTGCAGAGCTGGAAAGCACAGACTACAGCATGTTCGAAGGCGAAGACAATGCCTATGCCGACATGCTCAGGCTTCTCGTCCAGTTCCCGGGAATCGTGAAGACTTCTTTCGAGAAGTTGGAGTCCTCTCACATTCTGACGTTTCTTTTCAACCTCGTCGATCTCTTGCCGAACGTCTGGGAAGACGAGGCTGAAGCTGAAGGTTCATCTCGGAGCCTTGCCAAACTGGCATTCTACAAATGCTTCCACATTGTGCTGGAGAATGGGATGAGGACGCTGGGGTTGGCGCCTCTGACGGCCTGATGACCAAGAACAACTCCATGGTTATTCCTCTTTGACCAGAGACTCTGCAGGCTTACGCGGCCCTTTTCGAGGCTTCTTCGACTATTTTTTGTTACGAATCTGTACAGCGGGGTTGAAGGATTGTACGCTAAGTTAGACGTTGGGCATTCTGTTAGTTGGTGACTCGATGATTCAGATCAGTCTCGGGCAGCCTGTCTGCATTGACTTTTGCTATATTAGTGAGTACCCACACGGGGAGGCCGCTAGGATTTGCCAGTTTGAGCCTCATTTTTTCGCATCGAAAGTCCTGTACGTGCGGCATCCATGGGATCTTGGAGGCTGAGGTTTCTCCTGGGGTCGTTTCTGTCGAATTCGACTGTACAAATCCCCACACGCGCGTGGCGTGGTACCTTCTTCAGTTCACTGGCCAATGTTTCGGGCATCGAAAGGTCGCCTTGCGGAACGATTCCTTCCATGTGATGCCTTGCGCTAATACGCCGTTGGAGCAGATGGATTTGTTGACTGCCCAATGCCAGACTCTCGCTTTGTCCAATCCTGGGCTTGCCATGATCCCGCTCTTCTAGAACCACTCTCAGTGGTGGTCAGTTGACATCGACCGGAAAGCCGGCCAACGCATTGTGCGTGCGACGCTATACTGTACACGGCACTTGCATCAGCTAGCCAGTGCCCAAACACAACGTGTAGATGCCCGACTCAACAGAGCAGCCAATTATTCTCTGCATCAGGTTCAGAGCCCAGTTGGCGTGTCCCAAACTCACGGTACAGGTCTGTGGCGATAAACGTGGGGTAAAGTCTTTCTTGCCTTTTGGGCATGTACGAAATGCTATTTCCAGCCCCTAAATCCACACATGCAAAAAAATGACTGATCGGGTTGCAGTGAGAATGAAGCTGCCGACACCGGCTTCGCCTCTTCTTGTTTGGGGGGGACCTCTCATCACATCCGTTGTGAAGACCAGCTGATGCCCAAGACATTTACCTCATGTCTACATCCGAGTTGGAATTACTACCCTCCCAAAGCCCAGGATCCCTTGCTCACTGCCTGCTTGGGAGGCAAATGCACCTGCAAACCCGCACAGCTCAACGCCGGTTTGGCAGTGCAGCTGTCGACAGATAGCAGGGGGGTGTATTGCTCTATGGCTGCTCTGTGCGGCAGACGGCTTGTCGGCCCATGTCTAAATCCACCCGCCATATGAGCGCATGCATATCCCAATGCTATCGGTGAGAAGATATTCTCGAGCCTGCCTGCACGTGAAACTCGCTCGGAGCTGCTCCGAGCAGGATGGCGATTGGACTCTTCTTGACCGGTAAGTCGACCAGAGCGAGAGCGTTCGATGCATGTTGCTCCAGCCTCACTTCTTTCCACCACTCACAAACTACCACGCATCGCTTTCTTGGACTGGTCATTGGCCGTGATTTTCTCTCCATATTCGAATCCATGAGGCTCTACAAGGGTTATCGACTATGAGGTATTTCAACTGTCTAGTATATACATTCCGTGTCTCTGTTTGCATTCGATCTGGAAATCCATGATTGCCTTCTTGATCTTGGGCTGAGAAAGGCCTTTCATGAGCGATGGATCCTCGTCACCGTGGACTATATGTCCGGTCAGTTGATACAGTCCTCTTCACCCAGCCAGTGTCATTGCTAACCAGCCCTTAGATGGTGTCAGAGTCCCCGGGTCGAGTTGTTAGTCGGTCAAGATGTCGGCCAGATGGAGAGATTTGTCATCCCTCAAGAGTTTCTGCAGCGTCGATCGCGAACCCTGAGGGAACAAATTGCCAAGCTTGAAGAGAATATTTCGTCAAAGGAAATTGCGCTCCCCGAGACTGCCCCCCAGACGATGGAAGAGTTCTTCATCTGGAACTTCACTCCGAATCCACAAGTTGATGAACGGTTGAGTTTCAGAGACGTTGTCCAACTCGGAATCTTCGCCTGGAAATATCAGGTTTCCGCTTTGAGCAACCAGGTGACTGACATGATACGCCACAATCTCGCAAACAATGAGTGGAAACTGGAAGCTGCTATAGTGGACGCCATCTACCAAGCAGCGCCCGCCAAGAGTCCCCTCCGAGAGGTGATCAGGGCGGCGTTGGGCCAGCTGCCGCGCTCTTGTATCGACGGCGAAGAATGGGAGAGGACCTGGAAACGCAATCCAGACCTTGGCTGGGACCACCACAAATCCAGCGACAAGGAATGGACGCCCAAGGACTATCTGACTGGGTCTTGTCGTTTCCATAACCATGACGAAATCAAGCGTCGGCTGAGTCTATGTGATGGCTGCCCCTATGCTCAGGAGGACTGCTACCCTGTCTGGGAAGACGACCCAGAGGAGCAAGAATCAGAAGTCAAAGAAGTGACTGAGAGCTGGCCAGTTGCGGAAACCCACGTCATGGGGGAGACGCTTCCCAACGACATTCAGTTGCCAGATGCGCCAAAGCTGATGGAGCAAACAGTTGAAGAAGCTAGTGGACTCGCCGCCTCCGTCTTTGAAGATGCGCCTGAACGTGTGCTTGAAGAGACCGCTGTCGTCGAGACCGCTGTCGAGACGAACGGAGTCACCAACCATGGGGTCCCCGAGGAGTCGATTGAGGATGGTGATGGCATGGCAACACCACACCCAGAAACCAATGGAGTCAAGAACATCCGCCTCGATGAAGCCCCGTTCGAGTCAGATGCATGCAGCGCCTCCCACGGATCAGTCCAAGGCGACGAGGGCCCGTTGGCGGTGAACGGGGCCGTGACCAATAGCCTGGAGGAGAGCGTCAACGGAGCCATGCATGTTGAGGCGGTGAACGGTCACGACGTCTGCATAACGGGAGACAAAAAGAAGAAGGGCAAGAAGAGCAAGAAGAAGAGGATGGGGAGCATCAGCAACGGCAACGTTAATGTCAACGTCAATGGGAATGAACTACCGGTTACCCAAAACTGATTTCGGGCTGGTTGGGCCAGACGGGACTTTCGACCAAGGAAAAGCATGGATGGGTGGATGGATGGAGGACGGTATTTACTCAGAATGTATCCCCAGTCAAAGTCGATTTGCTGTTTTCATGTACGAGGCGTTAGGTACCTAAGTATGTAGCCAACAAAGTGGACCATTGGAAGGAAACATAGCGTTTCATCGAGTATCAGATCTACAGTAGCTCCTGATATTTTGCAGTGACTAGGTGGCATACCTATTGCAGGGCATGAGCGTGGGATTGGGAGTGGAGCGGGCGTGGGCGCTCGCAAAGCATCATGGCCCATGGGTCCAAGACCGCCTCTCCCACGGTCTACCTAGCTCCCTTGCTAGGTCGGTAGCTACCTACCAGTACATAGTCTGGCTGCCCACCAGAAGACCAACTGGCTGTCAGGTGTGTGACCGCCTCGTTGGCCGTCAAGAGAGCTCTGCGCTCTAGCATTCGAAAGTGCGCAGCGGGCACATAGAGGCGTCTGGCTACCAGTATTGGATACATAGGTTCGTACCTCGTATTTCGGTTCTCGGTTCCTACCTTAGAGTATTAATATTAGGAACCTAATAGCCCCGGCTTGGTGGCCCAGGGCCGGTCCAGCTGATTGCCTAGTGATACCTAGTACTTGTTTGTAGTTTAGGTGTCTTCCGCGGCGCAAGCCGCCCCCTTGGTAGATAATCGAATTGATCAAGGCTGCCACTATCGGTATGTGTATCAGCCCACCAGCCATGCAAAGCCGTGGCTAGGAAATCCCGTCTCCAGGTGAGATGGCCCTGGGCTGGCCCATCCCCTTCGGGTATACATAAACGTATGGTCGCGAGTTGCGCGCAACAAGAACCCCATCTCCCATCTGGATGCCCTTCGCGCTCTTTTACCTCTGGGGCTCCAACCAAAGACGATACCTAGTAAGGAGTAAACTATTGGACTCGGCGTGCATTCTTGTTGGTTTTGAAGAACTGTCCATCTATGATTCCATGAATACATCCAACGCCAATTAACTGGCAGTGGTTACTCGGCTGACCTTGTGATGCGCTTAGTGATGATATTGCTGTTGACCCCTCCCTACTACCGAGAGGCCTTAGCACGCATGGTGCAGATATGGTAGGAATGAGTATAACTACAAGTCGGTCGTTCACGTTGTCCTTGTCCTTCCAAGTGAGACCTATGGCTCCAGAGTCTGTCCGATTCGATCTCGATCTAATTTCTAGGCTATGCTAGATTTGTCTGATGTTGTCCGTAATTAGCCTGTGGCCCCCCGACCGAGAATGGTCATTCCGCAAGAGGTAGCGAGCCCCCATCCTCCTTCAGCCTCGCAGCCTTGCGTGATCAGAAATGTCGTCATTTCAAAATTCCAATGTTCAACCCCGCTACTGCGTGAACTATTTGATAATCCTTTCCAAACCCTCTCATCTTGTGGACGTATTGCTCCCTTCATTCACTTTCCTCACCTGGCCGACCTCTCAGGTTTATTCCTCGGTGAATGGTCGCACGCCTTTTGAAATGTGAGTAGGTCGGAGAAAAGAAAAGAAAAAAAAAAAAAATGGCGCCCTCTCCGCCAGCAGTCACCGATGGGTCGAAGACATGGTCGCCGTCGCACTTGTTCTTCAGCGACAACCATGGCGGCACAACGCCAGAAATCTGGGACAAAATCCACACGCACCTCAAGGCCAATGAGTTTCGAGAAGCAATCGCAGCGGCCTTTGAACTGAGCCAGGGCGACAACTTCACGTACCATGCCAATGCGTCGGTCAACCTCGGTCAAGCGGAGGCAGCCATCCGCGCCGGGAGGACGAACGGCTTGCATGGTTGGTACGTTGAAACAACCGCTTCTGCTACCGATTTGAACAACAACGATGACGACTCAGCATCGAGGACGATCCCAGGACAGCCGTCGTTACGAATATCAGGCTACCCGCCTACAGCAGACATCCAGGCCTACATCTCGCTATTCGATCCGACAAAATCTGCCGCCAACAGTCTGAAATCTCTGTTGGCAAACGCCAAAAAGGGCTCGCTTCGCGCGACGGTGGCGGAATATCTCCTCAGCAAACGCTACCTCGATCCCTCGATCAGTGTGCCAAAATTCAAGATCCCTCCTGCTGCTGCTGCTCAAGATGGGCACAACCACTCCAAGATGACACAGCACGAAAACCCGTCGCTGGATTTCTGGGCCTATTCCTGCGTGGCGCTCGAGTACACGGGACCCAACGCCAGGACGGCGCTGGTCAAGACCTCGCACCACGTCCTGCCCGTGTACATGCACCATTTTGGGTGCGTGTGCCCATCATGGGAATCACTCCAGATCATCGCGAAACTGGCCTCTGGCGGCAGCGTGCTCGACATGGGTAGTGGAAACGGGTACTGGACACTCATGCTGCGTCGGCTGGGTCTGAGCGTCGTCGCCGTCGACAGCGGGCAGTCACGATGGCGCACCGTATGGATCCCCGACACGGTCGTCACGGACGGGATCACGTACCTGCGCAAACGCGCCGGCTGCCCCGACAGCCTGCTCCTGCTCGTCTACCCCATCGTCGGCGCTGGCGGCGGCGGAGAGTTCACACGCAAGGTCATCGACGCATACACGGGCGACGTCGTCTGCGTGGCCGGCACGCAGAACGGCAACGGCTACACCGGCTTCAAGGACATGATGATCGATGAGTACATGCACAGAGAAAAGCCCGCGTGGGAAAAGGTCGCGCAGGTGCCACTGCCGAGTTTTGCCGGCAAGGACGATGCCTTGTTTGCGTTTCGGCGCAAGAAAGAGAGTACATAATAGCGATCAATTAATGCGTGAGCTGCAAGGAAAGGAGGGAGAGAAAATTCAATGAATGGCTACAAGGCTCAGGATCAAAGATCCACATATCATTACATCGCATCGCGTCGGGGCCCACAAAGCTGCCCGGTCCCAATGGAGGAGGCCGGCATTACAAGAAAGCCAAAATTTACATACTTGGTAGGCAACAAGATCTATTTGGTGGTCATCGTGTCACAGAGATCCCAGGAGGTGCGTGATAGTCAAGATTCTGTAGTGCCATTAAATAAATTGTTGGTACATATCCACCCGTCTATTGTAGAAGTCTTGCTTTTTAGGTCCTCAAGAAACTGTTGGAGTCTTTGTTCCCTCGAGCAGTCCAAGCAGACCGCGCAAAGTCTATCACATGCAAGAAATTTTAGCACCAGCCCTCAAGAAAGGTCGTTTAGGCCCGTCCAGGACCGTCTATTCGGAAATGCTCCGATCATCTAAAAGAGTCTTGCAGCGTCGCTCAAGGTTGTGTGCCGTATGTGCATGCTGAAGATCCGCCCACGTAAAAGGTATGAAAATGCTCTGAACCCACAACCTGAGCTGAAATCATGCAAATCCGTCATCTTTTCTGCATCTATTTGGCAATTTCAACACCGCCCTGTAAAGGTTGTTAGCCTATGTCCACATCGATGGAACAGTAAAGAAAATAGGCCGTGTTGAAGTCGTTTTTCAATCGGAGGGCAAACTTACGGTAGCGCCAATCATCCTGTGGAAGATCGAGTTAGTACTACTTTTCGAGGTCAGATATTGGGAAAAACTCACCTCTTGATATCACCGTAGATAGCGAATTGACCAGCAGTCAAGGTACCAACCATGAACAGACGAGCGCCAATACCAGCATAGCTTCCTCTGAAACCAAGTTCCTTGCCAATCTTGAAAAGTCGGCTGGTAGTGCTCTCGCCTGGGAGACCCTTGGTCTTGTTGATCTTGGAAAGCATAGTGTCGGCAGGCTGAGAGACAATGGCAGCAGCGAAACCGGCGATCAGACCAGAGCCAAGATTGACGACAGTCTTGGTGCCATCGGAAGCGGTGTTCTTGTCCAGTGTGCGCCAGACAGTCTCAGCGACCTTCTCGTAGACGACGAATTTGGCCATTGTGTAGGGAACCTGCTTGAACAGGATGGGACCGAAACCACTATAGAAAGCCATGACACCTTCATTTCTCAAGATCTTTCCAAAGCCACCAATCAGGCCAGAAGCGAAGGTGGGCTCGGAGACCAATCGAATGCGGGTTGCCTCGAGTGGGCAGAGAGCAATATCGGCAAAGAATTCGGCGGCGGCAGAGGAGGCGAGGTAGACGGCGGTTCGGTTATTTGAAGCAGTCTCATAGCCGAGCAGGTTGATGGATTGTTGCTTGAAGAACTCGTATCCTCCGAACTTGAAGGCGCCCTGCAGGAAGTAGCCTGCGAAGGTAGGGCCGACACCAGTCAAGAGAGCACCAGCACCCTCATTTTGGATGACTTTTCGGAAACCGCCTATCATGCCATTGTTGTATGTAGCAGGGTCAAGCTGAATTCTCGTCTTGACGCTAAAGGGATTGTCAGCGCCTGTCTGCAGCGCCGTGGGAGGTGAGACTTACACGTCAACCGGAGTGAGGGCGCCGTGGGTGACGGAGCAGCAGACTGCACCAGCAAAGGCCTGGGATGGGTTAGTGACCAAGACAGATTGGCTGGACGATGACCACTCACGAATCTGCTGTAGAGATCGATGCCGGAAAGTTGTTTGGGAGCGGGGGTGGCAGCTGGGATAGCAGCACCAACCTGGGGAGTTGCAGTCGCCATTACGAGGGAGTGGAGAGAGAACAATTGAACTCGAAAGGAATCTAACGAGAACAGTGCAAAGAGATCTAGAGCACGGCGGACCTGAACCGAAACACGACCAAAGAGAGGGTAAGATGTGATATACAAGACCAGCGATGGAGTTTCTTGAATAAAAAGGAGTTTTGGGGAGAATTGAAGCTGCAGCGAAAATGAATCGGACCAGCAACGGAGACCAAAAAAAATGCCGCATTCATCGCAGCCGATCGGCCGGCGAGGCTGCGTTAGGCTGCGGGTGCTGTGGCCACGGTAACCAATCACGTAGTCACGTGTGATCTCCAGTTGGGCTTGGCGTCCCCAACCCCCTTTCACCCTTTTTCCTGGTACTGGGTATAAAATGGGCAACACCGCACTTCACAAAGAGGCGAGCTGAGGCGAGGCTGCGGCGAAGATGATCAGAGCACCTCCAGCGACACGATCGATCATGGTTGCCATCGTTTTCCTGACCCCAGCTGTGACTTGGTTAAATGAACATTCCCTTACCGGGCACTCCAAGATGAGGGAGCAGGTAAGAAACACCAATACGGAGTGTCTTCCCATTTGGACCAGATGGAGGTTTCCCGCTGATCTCATATATCCCGATCGAGCCGCAATCCTTGCCGCAATCTCATCGTGCGGTCGGACTGAGGGCTCTTTACGGAAAGCGATCCTGGAACGGTGTTGGCAGCGAGATGCTTCCTCTACCGCAGCCGTATCTGTCTCCGAGCCGGCCTTGACATTGACCTGCTAGTACTGGAGTGACAGGGTTGTTCTGACATTCCTGCACGCCTATCTCGATATCGATGTGTCAAATGGGTGAAACAGTTACCGACGTCTACACCATCTAAATAGCACAGCGACATCGGCCTTAGGCGGCCATAAGATCAGAAGACGTCTGCTGGACAATTAGTATTTATTCGGAATTATGATGGTTACCGACGCCAACACCATTTGAATTGCATCGCGACAGCGCGGCTACTTACTCGGCAATGAGACCAGAAGCCGGACTATTGTACAATTGCAACGTTCCCCTGTTCTACGCTGTCGCAAGGGTCCCTACGTTTATCTAATTGGGTCCAGCCGAGCTGCGGCACCATGAAAGTCGCGGCCCGTCATTTTTTGCGGCTCCGTCTGTTCCTGCAGGCGACGGATGGCCCTGGTGTATCAATTAAGTCGGATCGATGTCGTTGGCACGTGTCACTCTCATCGAAATTCTCTGACACGCTGCTGAGCGGGGTTACTACAACAAAATTGCATTCGGCACATCGTTCAATTTTTCATTCTGAATGCCATGTTCTATCCATTATATAAGACAAGGTGGTTGAGCAACAAACCTTCGTTTACGAACCACGTACTTGGTATATCAATAATCCGATTCCGAAAATGGTAAGTCCGTCTTCCTTGGCCCGTTGGCTCGCTTGGCAGGAGCCCAACCGGCTGACGCACGTATCATACAGCCACCCTCGAAGGGCAAGAAAAAGGCAACCACCGTCTAACATCAGGAGTTGTGTAATGCACACCCTCACCTCCACCGCGGTCAGATCTAACCGACCTATCTTAGTGTCGGTGCGACAACAGCCCGATCAATATCAAGGCCAATACCTGTGCTCAGTGCCGCCAGCCGCGATGGAAAAATTGCAGAACGAAGAAAATGGTCAAAGTGCGCGGCAGGAGGAGATGCACCAAACAGCGCCATTACACCATTCAGCGACATATCAACGTCGCATACTGTACCGCAGTTCATGTGACGACCTCCATACAGAAGTTCTGCGTCGCCATCCATTCAAAAGTTGCCCCGACATAGCGGTTGACGTGGACCCAATCGAGCTTCACGCAGCGCGCCCTGCCTTGATAGCAACCTAGAAATATTTCCACAGATTCCCGGCGCATATTCATATTGCATGGAGTTTCCTAGTTTTCTCATTTCCACGTTCTTTCCGACGTCCCTTCCCCCGGTGTTGACTCTAGCCTCGCGATAGTAAGGGCCTCCTTGCAGTTCCTTTGGTGTGCTATTTTTGATTAGGTAATTGAGAGATGCTCCGAAGGCCATACAACATGAGGTACGTGATCCGCGCAGTATTGATGTGCTCGACAAGGGGGACTTTAGGCCGACTAATTCTGAGCAAATCTCTTATTCTCTTTTCACAGCACCGCTTGGCCCCAGATTTTCCCAGAAGCGCGGGAGGCCGTGTATCAATATACAGAAAACATACCCTATGTTGAAAGACAGGCTGCACTTGGTCAAGGCGGCGATCTGATCCCAGTTTTCATGCATGGTCCTGAGGAATCCGATGCAGTACAGCCCCAAGCCGACAGAATTCAGCAACTGTGTCCACTCAGCGGTCCTTTACCACCGGTTGCACTGCTGGATGAGAGAGGTTGGGAGGATGGAATACTACGCCGAAGAGCGCCCCTCAGACCGCTAACAGCAGACGAGCTTTATGTGGAACTGAAGAAACCTGTATGACGCTCCGGTCCTCTAGCAATCAATGGAACCAATCACTGTCTTGTACTAAATCTTTTCCAGAGATTCCGGCCACAGCAACCATCCCCCCGTCCTGTTAGTAGTCCTTCCTCGGAGAACAGACTCCATCGAGCCTTGCCAAGATTTGTGAGAAACTACACAATTTTCAATGAGAAAAGATGCAGGACTGACGTTAATGAATAGGGCATTCACCTTTTTGGTGGAACACCCAGAGCTCGACCGGTCCACCACCTACGACGCGACGACGATTCCGCTCCAGAGACTGCGGGAGTCGCATTGCACGAGCCGAATGCGGACCGGCGCCTCGTGTGTGTTAGCTCGAATCCCAGATAAAGGAACTGGGCCCAAGTGCTGACAGTGATACAGCTTCATCACTGATCTAGATCTTTCCAGTATCTATGCCCTTGCCAGTACTGCGTCAGAGTATCAAGCCCCGGCACTCCGCGCTGCCATTTACAAGCATCTGGCCTTGGAGACCTTCATCGAGACAAAAATTTCCGTAAGTATCTACTATTACTAATGCAGAGCGCTCGCAGTGGGATGCTAACAGCACTATCTTACAGACAATAGGGCTTCCTACGTTTGAATTAGCTTTCCACGTCCCGTACTTCGCGTTGCGAGCTTCGAAGGAAGTTCAGGAAGACCCACGTCGAGACGTGAGCGGGAATCGCTTACGAGATTCACACAATGTCTCATTCCTTACCTGTACAACTGATCAACCGGTCGCCCATCTCCACGAGGCACAAGTCTCCGTTGTTGTCACAGGATGCGACGAGCGGCGATGGGTTGCCTACTGCTTTGTGGACACTTATTTTGACACTCGAGAAAATGGGAAAGAAGACGTCTTATCTTATTACGATGACAGTCAAGGCGAAGAAGGAATGAATGCAGATCCTATCACATGGGGCGTGCACAACGCAGACGATCCAATCGAGAATCCGAGAGAATATTATCTCGAGGTAATCCGGATTCGAATGCACCAGATCTGTCAAGAATGGGCCCAAATTGTTAGCAAAGTGCAAGAGAGTTTCCGTGCATATGAGCCTGAACAGGTATGGACCCCTTTTCGTTATATAGTCTCACAAATTCGTGACGGTTCGAGGCACTCCTAAACTGGCTACGGAGAAGTTTGAGACAGACGGTTGCGTATTGGGGTGGGGTCGCGCGTCGGGACGTTGGTACAGTTCTTGCTTCAGGACATTTAATCTGATGGTTTCCTCGACAGGGCAAACGTCTTATGCCTTCTAACATACTATTGCAAGGTCGTTCACGGCAGTCAAAAGGCAACAACATATGGCCGGAAAGGGCTTCGGAGTGGCTTTTTGGGTGCAGACCCCTATTGACAAGATTGCTTTCGAGCTTGTCAACAACAATTGAAACTCTCGAAAAGTTTCTATCCAACACGGACATTTTCGATGGTCTCTCTATGACAGCACACAAGCACCCGTCCCTCTCTGGCATCAACGCGACCATCGCCGACCTTCGGACCTTGAAGAGCACCTTGAGAAACTTGAAGGAACGCTGCGACGAAATTCCCCAAGAGGTACGTTCAGGTTATCTGTCGTGGCGGACTCATGACTGGCTCATTTGTCATGATTGCTAACCGAATTTTGATCCCTCAAGCTCCAACTTCAACTCGATGTCAACGCAGCTGGGCTGAGGAATCAACAGATCCAATTCTACTTGGATGCAGCCAAGCTCAGCAAGCAACAGCATCAGCTTAATCTTGATGCAGCTACGCAGGCGGAAAGAGTGGCGCGCCTCAATCAGCAATTCTCGTGGATGATGCTAGTAAGTCATAAGGCCCAGAAATATCAGTGTCTAGCCTCGCCAACTGACTTACTTTCCTTTAACACTATAGGTTTTCGTCTCGCCTATAGCACTGGCGGCGAACTTCTTCTCCATGGACTCCAAAGTCATTCCGTTTGTGAAGCCGAACTTTGGATCCTTTGCAGCCTTGGTCGTGGCCTTCGCGGGGTTGGGAACTGCCATCCAGGCGGTTTTGAACAGATGGCCCAAAGTCGTAGACCCTGTCCAGAAATTCTACTCAGAATTGGTCGATACCATGTCACGACTTCCGCGACGAGCCAGGAATGTGCCTGGTGACGAAGAGGATGTGAACAGGACAACCCCGTTATCAATCCCAGGCACCCCGGAAAATCGCCCGGCACACAACAAAGCTGAACAGGACGGCGACAGCGGCTCTGAGTGCCCTCCTCGCACCGGCCTTCTCTTAAGCCCACGCGGGGATGTTGATTCTGCCGCGCCTGATTAGAGTTGGCAGAATAGCGATGCCTCACACCATACAAGAAGAAGCGGAACCCATGTTCTTCACTTGGAGAGAGGCTTGACGACAATTATCTATTGATACGGATGTTTTTTTATTACGGCGAACACTTTTATGACTGCTCCTTCTATGTACGTGTGTATTATGGAGCTGTTTTTCAAATCCGCATTATACGATTGAGCGAACATACCAACATTCCTGTTACGATACATAATAGACAGATAGATAGGTATATTATACTCCGTAATGTGTCCCTGAACTCCACGGCTTCCAAAGCTGCGATGAAGCCTTTGTTACTTGGTCGGCTTGCCTTCGAGTAGAAGCAAAAGCAGAGGTAGAAGTAGTAGCGACAATAGGTCGATTCGAACTAGGACCAGAACCAGAACCAGAGCTCTGTCCTCGTACTTCGTATCCAGCCGCGTAAACAACGCAAACGGGTAGACGTTCTAGGTCATAAGACGGGGGCATATTTATTTATTCATTTATTCGATTTGATCCTATCTGCGCTTGCTTAGACAAGAGACGAAGGATGATGGTAAAATAGCCTGTACATAAATCGAGTCGCGTTGAGTTGGGGTCGGCCCACGCTAAAGTATATATACTAAGGAATACTAACTCTTTAGCAGGTACTAACCTTATATAGAAGATAGATAAGCATAAATGTAATAAACCAGGAGCTTTATCGAACTACTGTAATTATTACTTCGGTAACGACAGCTGTCCGCCCTTGGTGCTGCCACCTCGTGCTGAATACGACTCTTTATCCAGTCCTTCCTCCCAAAGCCGCAAACGGCAGGGAAATTCAATTGCCGCACTCTAAACCGGAGTTCTCGAAGTGTGTCCCTAGAGCAATTCGCTATCGACCAGTCGACGACTCCAAGTCAACGCCCACCCATAGCAACGCACGAGAATGCCAGCAGCAGGCAACCGAGCTTTCACCGGCACCGATTCCGAAGATGCATTTTCAGTATCGACCAAGCTTAGCAGCGTACCCCGAGGCGGTGTTGAGAGTGCTGTCGAGTCCTGATGAACCCGCAGGACCCCGCCCCCTAGATTCTGTTATGACGCTCAATATCGAAGCGCGATGGACCACTTTGTGCGATAATACAGGTGTTATCTGGCTCCTCTAAATAAACACAGGACCTCTCTTTCACCATCTCTTCCTTACTTGGTAATAATTTTTCTAATTACTACAAGACTAACTACAGGGTTAAATAGTTCGATACCACTCCTTCTCCAAAGGTATATGTATAATGCTTGCATCCTGGCGGCGACGGCGGTAGCAGCTTTTTTCTGCACACCCTAGCCTCACGATTCGGTATGGACAGAGATGCCCCTCTCCAAAACATCTCGCCTCAATCGAGACTGAGGAAGATGTCTTTGTGACAAAATCTCGGATTTTGGGTCGATGCCCGAAAGGGTGTTGCAAAGACTGGGAGTCAAATTGACATTCTGGGCGGTGCGTACTGGCCATACGTGCTTGAGAAGCAGCCACCAGGTCATGATTATTTCGTGTCTTATGCTTACGGAGAAAGGATAATGTATGTCACGAGGCTAGCGCCCGATATGGAAGTGATTGGGGGAGAAATGGAGTGATACCAGAGACTGAGTCGATTGTCTTCCACAGGATATAACATTAAAGGCAGTACAAAACATTTAAAGTATTACACAACCGCAATTTGAGGGCCCTGCTGGCACAGTGGGTTCGAGGGGGTCCTTGTATAGGTCCTGCAGCTATGTCAAGGTCAGTGCAGGTCGTGTAGTTCGCGTCTTCGCCACTAGGGAGCCCTGGAATTCCTGGCTCCCTCGGCCCATCCCAACACTCAGTAAATCGTTGTCAGTCACTATCTTCCACTCCTGGAATCACTCTCGCCGCTCAAGCAAACTCGAGCCACCCCACAGACTGGACGACTGCATTGGCGATTGCACAACAGACCCCGACCCTGCCATGCTTTGTCGTCGCTTCAACCGATTCCTCGCCCGAGCCACCTCGCTCGACGCATTGTGGATCTTCTGCCATTCTAAAGCCCCCTCCTGGAAAATGCCCCGTTCCGGGAATATCGCTCGCCCTGGAAGAATCAACTCGATCTCTCCGTTAGTCTCCGCCTGGCGCGAAATCTTGGGGCTTGTCAACAGCGGCTCTGTGCGAAAGACCAAACTGGCTGTGGTGAGGGTGCTAGTTGGCGATGACGGAGATTCATCCGACCCGTAGTCAGGCTCATAGCTCTCGTCCAACCAGTCTTTCCACCCACCCGAATGTTGTTCGCTCACGTACGGGGTCTTCTCAATGATGATGTTCATCTGATCGCGCTCTGCCACTTTGCCCAGTTCAATGGCCTGGGAGAAGATTTGGTTTAATTCGGAGAGGAATGCCTCCGAGTCGTTCAGAAGATAGTGCAAGGGCGTCGTGATTTTTTGGTCAATGAGCTTCCTAATCTCGTGCTGTCCGTTCGACTTATTCGTCTCGTCGAGCTTATCCAACGTCTTCAATGTGGCCACTTTCCACCGATGTTGAAAATCCTTTCCTGCTTCGGCCATGCCTGAATGCATCGTCGGAAGCACTGAGTCGTTGACGTGGTGCGACAACAGATACTCGGAGAAAAACGGGCGCCATAATGTATCACATATGAACTCAATGATGATGTGCTCGGCAGCGGCTCTTCGGAGCAGCACCGAACACTCGGACACGGCGATCGGGATTTGTTCAAAGATTCGGTTTTGTTGGTACACTTTCTCAGATATGTCCGCGGGTTTCTGCATCATGGAGAATGTTCGTCAACACAAGGGCTCTCTCCAGACCCCCAATGGCTGCTTCACGTACCTGTAAGGCCTTGGGTGGAAGATCTGTCAGGTGCCTACAGACAACATCGTGGACCTGTTCAAATAGCTTTTTGTATTCCTCCGTGCTGTCACATTAAGTCAGTACATCTCCTATCATCTGCATTTTGGGTTGGGGTTCTTTTTGGTGGGGAGGGGAGTGTACTAGAATTTCAAAGGCCGCTGCTCCAGTTGATACTGTTTCTTGATGCTGGTAAGCTCTCCCTGCAGTCCTGTTAAGGCGGTTTGCATCTTCGCTTGCTCCATGAACCGTAGCTTCTTCTCCTGTTCAAGTTCGGACGTCAGGTCCTGCAATTCCTTTCTGAGCTGAGCCTCTGTCGTCTCTAACTCTTTCAGGTCTTTCTGCAGGGTGGCAATCGTGTGCGCGTTGTCCTTTTCCAGCTTCTCCTTCTTCTGTTGATGTTCTTTCTCCAAATCCTGTATTTTCTGCCTCAGCTCCTGATCTTGTTTCTCTTGGGCGAGGGCATTCTTCTCGACTAGATCTTGAATTTTCTGCTCGTATTTTACTTTCTTCTGGTTACCAACCTCCGCCTTCGCTTGAAGGTCAAGAATTTCCCTTCTATGCTGCTCCCTCAACTCAGTTATCTTCTGTCGATGGGAGTCGCGATCATCCTGAGCTTGCTTCCATATCGTCTTATTCCCAATCTCGAGATCATGGATCTGTTTCATCAAGGCCTCATCATCGCCGTAGCGATCACCAACAGCACTAACTATCTTTCTATACTTCCTGAATTGCCTCGTCAACTCATTGATCGCACCATCGAGGGTAGACAGCCCAGTTTGGAGGTTTTGCACTTCTATCTGGATCCGGTCGTTGAAGCAACCGAAATGCACCGGTTGGACCTGGGAAATCTCAGCATCAGCGCCTTCAATCCCCTGAGGAACAGTTTCCTGGTTCGCGCTTGGGCTATTTGGGTGTACTGAACCACTTTCTGCCGCCTGCGCCATTGTGGCCGAACGGATCTAATCAGAACAACACTGCATTTAGCGATACCCAGAAAGTTGGTAAAAGGCGCCAGGACGTACGGAACGAGTGTCTCCCGTGGATTTCTTTAGAGATCCGGGGTGCAATAATTCCAGTATTCGTGCCTCAGTACTGGTAATCTCACGGTGCTTTTGGAGGGAGAAGGTGTAATTGGGGTTCTTGGGCGACATGTGGCTAGATGATGAGTGAAAAGGGGTCTGTTGAGAGGAGAAGTGGCGTTGGAGGGGACGTAGACCATTTTTGGGTCGGCCCAATCTGATCACATCACGACTCCTTTGAGGAGCTTTGGCAGGCATAATATCACCATGATGCACGTGCTCTGCATGTACAATTGCAACGTGTGAAGGTCTGAGTGGAGGAAGAATCAACGAGCGTCACGGACTTCAGTGGCCAAGAACGCACGCAAATAGCTGTGAAGTCGCAGATGTGTTATTGATTGGAATACCAACTCACTCTGCCAGACATGTTGACGAACGCATGGCCCGTGCAAAGGCGATGCAGACGCCGGGGTTGTGGGAGATGAGGCGACCAGTATCATTGCTATCAGTGCCAGTTCACCGGCTGCATGCATAGAGCAGCATCGGTGGAATTGTCTGGCTCGTGAGTGGTGTACTCTTCTAATGGAGGGTAGGAATCAAGCGATTTCATGCTGGTCGTTGTTCTCTGACAATGAGGGGCCATCCGAGCTGGTGGGATGATGCGGGATACTGTTCAGGTTGCTTGCATGGTCCTTCACAGGGGCGTCCACGAATGAGACAGGCCCACGTTCAGTGATATTGCGTGTCTTAGGCATCGAGAGGCGCGTGGGCTTGGAAGATCCTGAGGTGCCGGAACATAGGGAGAGCCTTGATGACATTGATTGCCAAGGGATATGGAAATGTCCTTTTGATGGACAACGCGTTTGCCGTTGAGGCTCATCGAACATTGCGAGCGGCTCTGGTTAGTCCTTTGTCAGCATCACGTGTGCGGAAGTATGGCAGCACTAACTAGCTGCAAGGTACAAGGAGGCACTGAGTGATGTGGGTGACTGATAAGTTAGTAACCTTTCCTTCACGCTATGGATAGAGTCCCATAGACACGTTGTCGACATGGTGATGTTCTCCTCATATATCGCTACATAATGGTTAATAATTCTCTCTGAATTACATCCATCTTCGAACGCAGGCCTAGGGTTATAGGCCAATGGTCCCAGATTCTGTCGTGGAATGACAAGACCCTTAGTCTTTTTGGACGATCCTCAAGGGACCTGGACCTTTTTCTGACATTCTAATACGAATAGATGACTCAAGGGACGACTAGAGGCCTTCATCTCAAGAAATCGCCCAAGTTCAAAGCTTTGTCATACGTCTATAGATATCTTTATCCTTGTCTCGAGAGGCAGAATATCGTCCTTACTATGCTACCGGATAAAGCAAGTCACCAAGAGGCCAATATCACTATAATGTGTAGACACTATCCTATCAAGATCATTTTGAACTCATGTGCCGCATTGACGCATCAAACAAGGCCAGGGGTATGCGGATGGGTCTGGATCGACGCAATCTGCATTCAACAGGACGACTTGGACGAACGGGCCTCCCCGATAATGTTGATGGGGCAGATGTATACTTGTGCTCAAGAGGTTTGATATGGCCAGGCCATGAGATCGAGTCCACTTCAACCGTTGTCAATCTAATACGAAGACCTGTCACCTAAGGTCAAAAAGTCCTCGAGGAACGGATTTCAGATCTTTTTCGTCTTGATCAAGATCCCCTGGGTAAGCTCGGAGGGGCGTTAAAGATTAGCAACCTGCAGACAAAGTTGGCAGAGTTCATCTCTTCGACATTCGACGCAGATGGCTACAGCTAATATGGATTACCCGGGAGCTTTTGCTTCCGAGAAGGTCACGAGTGTTCTGGAGCCTTCAAGAACTCTAATGGGAAGCCTATCACGAGCCCACCGTTGTCCCCAAGTACTCTACGCCCTCCACCCGAATCGGGTGGACGGTATAGAAAGAAAAGGAAAGGATAAGGCAAAGGACGGTTGAGGCACAAGGCTATCGGTTAACGCTGCCTTACCCTTTTCACGTGACAGAAAGAGAGGAAGCTATAAGAGTCTCCTCTCACCTGAATCGGCTGAGAGAGAACTCTTCCTTTTTCTTAAGCGTTGAGTCGTTGTCAATAGGACTACGTGAATAGAATAAGGCATTCAGTTACTCTAATCTCTTTATACCTACTGCGTTGCGTAGGTCCCTGATAAAGCCATTGTACTTTGCGGCATTCATATGAAGTCCCTGGTTGGTTTGATCGCGTTTTACCCACAAAGCAAAGGGAATGGGATATCGATATCAGTGACGACAGCCAGATCTTACTCCCCGGCACCCTACGAGAACCCAAGACGTGCGAATCCCCCTCTGCTGGTTTGGCTCCTTTATCTGGCCTAAACATTGTCCTAACGCGTCGGAATTCTATTCACTTATCCTATATGCATTGGAGAATGTGAGGATGCGGATCCACGGGACAGAGTATGTGCAGTATTTGGCATTTCGAAGTTAATCACGGCCGCGAATCTGGCCTCTTTTTTGTAGACAGACTATCCCTACTGACTTGGAAGGCCTCTGTACAAACCTCGCTGGTCTTCTACAAAGGTTCCAGTGCCTCAACTTGCTAACCTGGGCACATCAATCGTAGGGATTAGCATGCTCAGTCTTTCCTTCCTGGGTCAGTGACTGCCGTCATTTTGGGGGACATGCTCCACTGCGCTATTCAAAATGTGGAGAGGGATCGGTCCAATATGACAGCCAATTTGGCGCTTAACGAGCATCTCTTGGACATCCACGGCGGATTTCGAATATCCAGGGTCTTCCTTTTGATGTTGTTGAAAATTGATTCGATTTTGCGAAAGCGTAAACAATGCTTATGGAGCTGAAGCTAGTACTCGCAGAGGAGCGGCGAGAGTGTTAGTCTGCAATTGTCATCAGTTCGCATTATTCGCGTCTCATGATTCATCCAACGAATACTGTGGAGACACACGTCCAGTCTTTATCACAAAACGTGCGTTTCACGGAGTCAGTCGGCGAGCATGAAATTGTAGAGGATTGTTTCATCTTGTGTTCATATTGTAACAAGGCAAGGTGGCTATGCAGTGCTGGGGTGGTGGTGAACTGGCAGGGCAGAGGTCTGTCAGGTCACATGACAAACCTAATTAGATCGCTGGGAGCAGGACAGTTTATAGTGCTGGCAGGCTGCCATTCTTTACAGTCAGAGCGAGATCACGAATTACATGGCTTTTGGTGCCGTCTACCTAATTCCTGAGTGTTTTATCTGTCTTGTTCGGTCCTCAATGCTGCCGCTATGCTAGGCGTTCGTTGCCCTAGCCGCCGCCTCTCTGGTGGTGTTGGTGGTGGTGGTGTTGTCTTGTCAGTATCAACCAGAAACGCGTTCTCGATTCCCGATCTGCTGGACAGGCCTCTGTGCGTTGTTGCACGTGCACGCCGAACCCTGAAGTGCTCCGTTACAATATGCACGGTGAGATCTTGAGCGGTCGCTACGATCTTTCTGGCAATGAAGAGCGAATCCGAATTGTGCAAAGGCCAGAATTTCCCAAAGAACAGCCACGGCCCGCTATTGGGTCGGCTGATAAAGTTTTAGAAGTGGGCACATGGTCCTCTACAAGACTGATGATCCTGGTCAAGGGACAGCGAAGAACTATGCGACAATAAATAGTTCTCGAGGTCTATTAGAATGGGACCGTCGACGATCCCCGTCACTTCAAAACTCGACTATTCCTTTGCGAGAATCACATTTGTGTGTAGTTCTATGCCGCAACTTTCAAACTAAGTGACATACTACATAGCATCTACTGAGATCCACGCATAATCGTCATCTATCATAAGTTCTAGACCATCTCCTCTCCAACGGACGCAGAGTTTCTTTTACTTCCGAGGGACTTTTCCAACACGGGCTCCCGCGGGGGAGTCGTTCGTACCAAAAACGACATGTCCTTTCTCAACCACTAAGCCACAATCTAGACGCTAGCTGCATTAGATCTTTTGTTCACAAGCTACTATGTACCTCGCAAACAAAAATCCTGGGTCTGGGCACGTTGCGGCACTTCCCAGGTTACATTACAAGCTTCTCTCGTCCCGTGCCGTGACGGAATGGGCCGCACGACCGATTGCCTCGGGCGGTAATCGTACTTCCCCTATTGGCGGCTGCAAACAGCTCGTTGGCCTTGGCGACTATAGCTCCTGTGCGGGCACGAATCGCCATCTCTTTCCAAACCTTATTAGACGAGTTGCCTCGTATTGACCGAGTATTCCTTTCCAGGCTCTGGACCGGATCACGCTACGAGGTATACCTTGGTACAAAGTACAAGATACTTAAGACTGGCTCCCCATAGCACCACCTTCCCCTTCCCTTGGTTATTCAACCATCTTTCGTCCCTTATCGATTTTGCCCATCGATGCTCTCGACAGTCCTATTGCCATCCTGCACTTCCTTCCCTTTCTCTCCCTCTCCCTCATCCCGTCTTCCTTCGCCTTGCGCCACACCAGCGTCAATCCCGCTCGGACCATCCTCCGTCGCAACCCATGCAACTGCTACGTTGCAAAAGAAGGCTCGGGTTGTTCAGATGACCTTGCTTACGGCTATTGCCTCAACAACTACGATATTGTAATCCCAATCCCTTTTCTCCCTCAGGCGTCCTTTACCCATATCATTCCCTTATTCCATAAGCCCTTGGCCCCTCAACCATCCCACCATTTCAGCCCTTGTACAAAGTACTATCGATGAGAGACTGCTGACACATGGGCACTTATCCATAACAGATGCGTTGCCTAAACGGCATCTGGCAAGCCTGCTTCGACTGCGGCGCACCGACCTGCTATTGTAACCCGGGCTGCGGACTGATAGGATGTATGGGACGCACAAGTGTAAGTTTTGTCTTCTTTTATTCCTTTGCGAATGGAGCTCCTGGTGCCCGGTACAGTGAAGCAGGTCAGGTGTTTGGTGTGTATTTGGAAGCTGATATCTGTGGTTGATATAGTATCCTGGATCGACCGGCTGAAGTGAGGTGGGCTGTGGATGGTGTGCCGAGGGCATGAGGATGGTGCTCTAAGTAAGGCAAGGCTCTAAAGGCTGCCAGAATATTGTATATATTAAGAATATTCCCGAGAATATCACGTATATACAGAGTATCAGAGAAGGTCAATATCCGTTTCATAGACGTTTTCGAGGCATGTGAAAATATACCGACAATGTCTCTGATACGTCTCCAAGGATTCTCACCTTGTGAAATCGATAACAGTCTCGGGGTCTAGGGATGTCTCGAAGATATTTCTAAGGTGTCTTAAGAGACCAAGACTGTCTGGAGACAGGATTAAACCTCCTGCAGGCGCGCAGGACTGTAAGATGCCACCGCAAGCTGTACGGGCTGCTGCACCTCGACGGCGCTGGTGGTGCAACGACCCATACTTCCCCTGCTAAACAGCTATCTAGATCCATAAAAAGGCGCAAACAAAAACAGATTCACGGGCTCAATGGTAAATCCACGTCCGAGCACATGCACTACATAGTATTTGTCCAATACTCCTGGCCCCCCTTCTCACAGTCGTTGGAGAACATGGCTGGTTGGCTGGCTGCGAGACAATGCGCGGAAGACTTGCTCGTCCTTCCTTGCAAGAGCGGGGAGGGCAGGGGCCTCCGATCTCCAGCTATCCGAGGCGCTAACCTGTTCATGAGGTAGGTAGTGGGAGGGTGGGATGGCAAATATACAATATAAACCTCCATATTTCGCACATGACTTCACGATTGATTGTAACCCACTGCTTTGAGTTCTGGCCCTAAAGAGAGAAACAAAAAAAACCGTCTAGAAATGCAATATTCCAGGGGACCGGGAAAGGAGATGCTTACAAGTATATGAATGATGAGAATTGCTGACATATTGTCCCAGAAATCGCAATACTAGTCGTACATATTTTGACACCTTTTATCCATTCCCTGCCTCCCTATCATCGGAACATATAGTCATCCCACAATGTACTAGAGGAGCAACGGCGCTCAACAGGCCCCGCTGCAGCGTGGAAAAAGCTTGCCTGAGCCCACCACACCTCTCGAAACCTATAATTGAATTCCGTCGTACTCTTCATTCATGATACCAAGAGATCATATGATCTACTGCAGAGATTTCTGAGGCAGACCATTCTAGAAATGACGGCCGTTATACTGAATGCCTCGTCGCAGTTTTTCCCAGGCTGCTAGCACGGTAGTTGTGTTTATTGGCGACGGAGCCGCCAGCGATGTCGGGTCAAATACAAACAGAGCCTCGGTGGTGGTCATCATTGGTTGTGGCGGAGACTTGGTCGCCAACGGTGTTATGGAAATGGCAGTGGATGTTACCTCTGAAGGAGTTGTCGTAACCTCTGGACTTGCGCTTGTGGCTTCAGAACTTGTTGACGGAAGCTCGATTGCCGCCGCCGAGGGACGAACTGTGCTGAAGGGAGTAGGAGTAGTTTCAGAAGAAGGACCCGAGCTACTAGTAGATACTGCCGCGGGCGCTCTGGGCGGCGCGCTCGCTGCGCTGCTCATGCTGGTCACAGCCTTGGACGTCATACTGGTCTCGCCGGTTGAGGTGCTGCTAGGCATTACCTCAGGGCTTCTCGTTAAGACGCTGCTTATAGAGAGCTGTCCCTCCGAAATCGTAGATAGGCTACTCGTCATAATAATGGTCTCTGAAGTCTCCAGCCCGCTGCTAATGGCGCCTGAAGTTGTAGAGGATGCTTCGGCCGTGGTTGTGCTGGTGTAAGCTGCGTTGATACCACTCATATCCCCCATCTCAGAGATAGCACTGCCGCTGGTCAGGGGAGGGGCCAGAGAAGTGGTAGTTAGTTCGCTTGTAGTCGTGGAAGATGTTACTTGAGAGGATGTGAGACTTGTACCCATACTAGTAGTGCTCGGGATCTCGGGTGAGGATGTGGTCGTTGACTCAGGGTTCTGGCTGCGGATTACTGACGAGGACTCAGGGGAAAACTCTTGTGAGGCTTGTAGAGGACGGTTCCACTTCTGAACACGAGGTCGAGCTTGAGGGGGTAGGTTCTGCGGCTGGCGAGGTAGTGTCTACAGCAGCCGTTGTTGCCCGGACCATAGATACTGTGGTCGATGTGAGTTCAGAACCTGGAGTGCTCGAAGCTGTCGCCGTTTCAAACGCCGTGCTAGAAGCAGGAGACCCGGGAATCTCAGAAGTATTTGTCGTTCTAGAAGAACTAGTGCTTGTCGAGGGGCCTTGAGATGAGGTGGTAGTAGTTGGCTCAAAAGTAATACTGGTTGTAGGGACACTTCCAGAGCTACTAGCAGATATTGCTCTAGTGCTGGTTGCGACTGCGTCCACGATGCCGGAAGTTGTTGTCCCGCTACCTGCTAAGGTTTGCCCTTCTGTAGATGAAGTTGGTGACGCAGGCTCACCTGAGGAGTTCGAACTTGGCTGAGGAGAAATTTTGGAGGTTGTAGGTAACCCCATACTCAATGTTGCTGTGGATGAAGTCTTAGTTATAAAACTAGTAGATGATAACGATACCGACGTGGTGATCGATGGGATGCTCATGCTTCCCGAGATTGGAAATTGAGAGACAGAGAAAGTTGTTGAAGACGTCGAGCCTGTCGTATGTTGAGGTTCGGTGCTTGACGAGGTTGCAGATGATGTGGTAACCTCAGAAGTAGTGGATAGACTATTAGTCCTCACTGATATCCTTGAGATGTGAATGTTGATAATGTGGAAAAAAATGACTCAGAGCTTAAGGTACCTGGTACACTAGCGGCACTACTGATAGTTGATGAAGATTCAACCTGTCTAGAAGTGGTCGATAATGGCCCTATTTCAGAGGTGAAGGATGTCGAGATGCTGATGCTGCTACCTGTTGATTGAGTACTAGCAGCGGTCGATGATGACCCGACTTGCGAGATCGTGGAAGGTAGCAAGGTTGCGCCGCTGCTTGTGGAACCTGAAGATATGTCAGGACCTCAAGACCCGAGTCAATCCATGATGATTTACCGGAGGCCACAGGGGTCTCTTCCAGAATAATGGTAAAGCAAATGAATGGAATTGAGCTTCCGAAAAGAATGAAGACAACGCCTTGTTCATTAGTACAGAAATTAGTATTCTGCACTTGGAGTAATAGAATGCCATTGAGATCAATAGCCCATTTAGAGAGGCTGCCACTGATAGTCGCAATCAATGAGAAGGTAAGGTATGGCTGACTGAAGTCTGCATCAACATAGAATGAGCCAATTCGCAAGTAGCCGGAAGCATCCAGAAAGAACTGGGCCGCTGATGCGGGATCGTTGAGTAGGGTACCGGTACTATTAAAGAAACCTAAATATTGAAGAGGTCGCTTGCGAGTTTTCAGAGGCGAGTTGGTGCTGATAAGGAAGGGGTTCGTAGCGGGAGGGGCAGGGACAATTGCTGTGCTTGAAGTTATAATTGAACCCGGTAAAAATGGTGATAGCTGACAAAGAGAACCCCGAGGAGCCAGTCGTTGATCCGATCGACACACCAATAGTGGGGGTTGAAATTGAAGTCACGGAAGTCGATATACTGCTAAAGAGGCTGGAGATGGTGCTGGCAGAAGTGGCTGTCGATCCTCTGATCAGACCGACACTAAAGGCAGAAGAGCCGCTAGTTGAGGTGGAGCCTAAGGATGCCGTGATCGATGAACTTGATATAGAGGACATGGTCTCTGACGAGCTCGAACCTGTCACGGAGGTGGTGCTAGATGAGCTGCTATTCGGAGTTGATGAACCAGAATTATTGCTAGGGGAGTTTAGACCGGCGAACGAACTTATGCTCGAAGTGGTGGTAGATGCAGAGACAGCTCCAGTACTGAAACTGGAAGAGCCGCTTGTTGAGGTTGTCATCCCAGAGATGCTGTTAGATGAGCTTGGTGAAGTCACAGAGACTGTGCTTAATAGACCAGTCGTAGATGAACTGGTTAGGGAGACATTGCACTGGAGTTACTGGGAGAGCTGACGGGCCTTGAGAATAGATTGCTGGATGAGCCTGTGGTCGACTCAGAGTCACGTCCGGCACCGAAGCTGGAAGTAGCAGATGAGGTTGTCAAAATGTTGGTTGTTCCTGAGCCAGTACTGTTGGTAGTAGAGGAGGTTGTCAAAGTACTGATTGTTTCAGAGCCTATTACTGAAAGTGGACCCAAAAATGGTGCCGCCGGAAAAGCTTGAGCTGCTGGATGGGCTTGAGGCGTGGCCACTAGGAACAATAGTAGAGGTTGACGTTGAGCCAGAAGTCAGTGCGCTTGTAAACCTTGGGCTTGAGGGACTCGATGTTGACATTGAGTTAGGACCAGTGGAAGAGCTGGAGGTAAAGATTGAGATTGAGGTTGAGGGTCAAGCCAGGAAGCGGTCCACCCGAGAGGCTTGATGTACTGACCATAGCAATGGACACGCCGCTGGTCATCGATGGGCACGAGCTGCCACTAGATAAGCTGATTGTAACCCCGCTGGCGGTAGAAGCGGAGGAAGTGTTGCCGGGAGAATTGTTGGTCGACGAGGACTGTGGAAGGCTTGAGCTAGAGGAACTACCGCTAGAAATGCCAGTGAGACCTGTGAGGGAGCGAAAAGAACTGCTCGTCGCACTCGTTGCAGAGGAGAAGTATGTACTGGAGCTCGTCATGTACGAGTTGCTCGTAGGGCCGCTGGTCGAGCCGAAGTTCGAACTTTGAAACACACTCGAAGTTTCAGATCCAATAGCGGAGTGAGTTGCAATCCAGTCAGCCCAGTCCGGAGGAAGGGGAAGGTTAGGTTTGGTCACTTCATCGCTCCCCCAGCCAGCCCAGTCGTACGTGTCACCTCCCAAATTGTTGAGAGAACGATCCGTTCCTTTGCCTGGTTGACGGAAACCTGGAATTGCATGAAAACCAGTGGGAATTGGAACAGCGCTTGAGGTCCGCGGCGGCGGCTGTCTACTGCAGGGCACCGTCCAAAAGATTGTTTTGGTGACGACTATGGTGAAATCAATAACTTCTCGAGGCCTGTGGCATTGACGGACGACATGATGAAAGAAAGGACTCGGGGTGATAGTGATTGTTTCTACTCCGGCAGTAATTATGTGGCTAGGAGCGGTTAAAGTGAATGTGAAGGCATAGGTGCTGGCTGAAGGAGCCACGAATCTGGTTGCCAGGGGTGCCAATGTTGTAGAGGAAGCGGCAGGAGCCGGCTTGGAAATCCATGTCTCCGCGTATGCAATGCACATGGCTCCGTCAAGACCTGGCTTGCACTCAATAACGTTGACGACCTGAGAACGGCTTCCATCCCGTTGTACATTACATTCCTGGCAAAGGCCACTTCCGCCGCAGCCTGGAATCGCCAATGGGCCAATCTTGTTGTAGGGAACCATAAAGTCTTTTACAATAGTGAGAAACACTGGTTGGGGAAAAACGCGAGAAGTAGTCCCATTCTCGACGAAGGCTGAGATGGGAGTCGCAAATTTAGTGATTGTCGAATGGAATCGAGAAACTGTAACGGGTTGAGAAGTAGAAGTAACTGTGGTCGTAAGGACCGAGGAGCCGTCCCATGCGGCTGGGATAATGGTGCTAACGTAGGCAAAGGTCTCCATGGAATACTGGGTGGTACAAGCTCCCCGGAAGCATGCCGATGTTGTGGAACAGGTTGACACAGTTTGATGCTGCATTGTAACGGTGATTGGAGTTGCGGATGTGCTTGTTGCATTTGGACAAGGATTGATTGTCGTCAAAGATCCAGCAATAGCAACTCCAGACACCAAAGCGGCCACCGCAACCATGAAACGCATTGTGAAAGAACGAAATGAATGACTCTATGGAAGGGAATGGCTGAAGGGAAAATCCTTCCAAAACAGTGAGCGAAACGAATGAGTTCACCTTGGCAAAAGGGGTTGGTAGGGTTAGAAGAACGTGCGAGCGACTGAATGGGATATATAACAATGCAAAGTGGAGGTCCATCAAGACGAGGTAACCACATAAGCTGGTGTGATGGGGTCTGCCATGTGGACGATGGCTTGGTTAGGAGCTCGGGCAATAATCTGGATCTGATTCCACACAGAATCCGGGGTTGGACAAACAGGGCTGGGAGCGAGATTCGGTCTAATGGCACTCAACTCAGGCAGCTCGCCCCGGGGGGAAGCCACGAAGTCGTCCACAGAGGCTCAAAGAGGCATGTGGACTACAGCGGAAGTCCTGACCAGGCTGATAGTTTTGACAGAGCCGCCCAATTTCCCATAGCTGTGCCAGTCTTGTTGCGAGTTTGTCTGTAGAGCGAGTATAATTAAGACGAAAAATGATTGACGAGCCAACAGATGCTTACCGGCAATAGCACAATCGGCTGATAGAGTAACCAGATGTTGGCCGAGTACAGCTCGCCGCTACTGGGCCCACTTTAGATGACAGCCAAAGACGACGCAAAGTAGAGTGACAAAAGAGCACTTCCAACGAGGCACGGATGCTGCATCCCAGGCGTGCTCTGCTCCAGCGAGACTCTCAGAGCCAGGTTCAGCGCGACCCTTCCAAGACGTAGAAGAGGCTGTTTGGAAAAGTTTCGGGTCTCGCGCAGGAATGACAATGATGGAAATTCGAAACATCGACAGGATTCTCAAGGGGCAAGGCCCTTTCTCGGGTCCCTTCAATTCGCAAATCTTGACCGTCCTGAGGAGGCGCCGCGCCAAAGACCTCAATGACAATCGTTCCATCGGGAGCAAGAGAGGATCAGAACGCGTTGATATGAGCCTGGCACACCACTGCGACGGCTGTATTTTGTGCGAATTATATGTTGCGGGAGTGAGCAGAGGTCAAACTGGGAGAAACATGCTTCATTTGGGGACTGAGCAGTTGTACATCTTTCTTGGGCAGGTTGAAGTGGAGGTAAAAGTGAGGGTGAGGGTGAGGGTCAAAGTTCGAGTGTGGAGTCTGGCGGCGCTCACGCGGAAGGTGGATCCCGTGATAGGTTAGTTTTGTGTGAATGGTGTCTTGTCCAAAGCAGGCTAAGGTGTCTTGGCAGATGTTAATTGATTGGCTCGGTCCTGACTGCCGTCCGTTTCCCCTCTGTGCTTTACACCCTCTCTGCCCAGTGCCCGCCTTACTTAGGGAGTTTGAGACCCCTAATTCTTCGGCTGTCACTGCCGATAATACGTGCTACAGTTTGAATGGGCGTGCCTCCCCTACCCAGTACGCCCTGCTGTCTCTTCGTTATCTTGGGTTACTCTTTGGCAAGGAGCCCAGTGCCTTTGGCTACCCAACTCTGCGGGCCGTTCCCCTAACCCTCGGCCTCTCTAACAGTCTGTGCTACCACATTGCCTCCTAGTAGATTTGCTAGAGGCGCACACAATCAGCAAGTCAGCTTTTGTTTCTTTGATGAGCGGTTCAAACTTTGCTTACCTAGACTTGTTAGGCAATTAGTGGGAAGAGAAGCGCCCTTCCGCCCGCTAGCCCCTAACCCCGCCAGATCTGCGCCTAAGCGAGCCCTCCGAGGCCCCCGGACAAGGCCGCGTACCTGATCTAAGCTTGCTGTCTGTTAGAGTCCAACTCAATTGGACGCGTTCTACCTCTGATGCCACAACCTTTCAACTCTCGTTTTCCGGCCCTTCATGCATTTGTGCCCTCCCTTTGTCTATACCCTGGCATTGAGGGGGGAAGGTAGAAGAAAGAGCAACAATGCCTGGTTGATGAGGTGTTGGCGCTCTTGCGAACGCTGGTCACACGATTCAATTTTAAATCTCTCAATTTGTCCCACTATCTCTGGCATCCCTGTCGTCTGTATTGATCCGTGATATTACTTGGACAAGACAAACGTCCCCCTTCTCGGGCGTTTTCTCTGCTGCCCAACCAAACCAACCCAAACCTTACTCACTTCTCCGTGCACCTAGCCGATCCGCTGCAATGGCAGACGGCACCGCGCAACCCTCGGCTGCGCTGAAGTCATTAGAGAGGGAATACAAGGCTAAGGTCACCGAGACCGAAGCTATCTTCCATGTGCTGTTGCTTTTTCCCTCTTCCACAGTTGTGGTGGCTGACTTTCACAGAAACTACTCCAGCTGCTTAGCGCAAAAGAAGCCGAGTGTGAAAACCTCAAGTATGATCTCCTAGATCAGACTGAATCCCGAAGACACTGGCACAAGCGAGCGACTGAAGCCGAGTCTCGATTGGTTTGTCCTCTTCTCTTCATGACTTTAGGTGCGTCGTTTACTGATCCATCATGACAGTCAAGTGTTCAACATGTCATGGTCCTCGTCGACGGGAATCACCACTTTTTCAAACCCAACCTTGTAAGAGCAGGAATAGAAGGGGCGAAACTCGCCATAGACACTCTCGTGACTGAAGCCAAAGCTCTCGCCCGCGAACAGCACAAGAATGATCTGCCCGACCACCTTTCGGTAATAGTGCACATTTTCATCGATGTTGGAAAGCTGGCCGACGACCTCTCAACCACGGGTTTGCTTCCTGAGCCTGATCAACTGTGGACTTTCATCCAAGAGGCAGGTAAACTGGAACCGGGTATCACCATCTCCGACTGTGGTTCTGGTCACCATGCCGTCGAAGCAAAGATAAGGCGTGAGTCCAAGTCGACTGCCCTTTTTGTTTGATGGCCGCTGCTGAACAACATCTAGACTTCTACGAATTATATCTCGAAAACTGCCACTGCAGACATCTTTTCCTAGCTCTGCAAGGTCAGTCGGAATACTACGAGGTCCTTGAGACTTACGCCGACGATGGCTATACGAAATCAAAGACCTCTCTCGTTCGCCCAAGCGGAGGGCTTCACAATGGTTACAATCTCCCATTCCATACAGTTGACTTCTCTGTTGTTGAAAGCGTGCCTCAGCAGGCCACTTCTTTCGCCGCCATCAGTCCGCAGATCAACGGCACAGCCGGCCCACCGTTGCCGGCTCAGCATTATGAAAATACCAGCGTGCAGACCCTGTCAAAGTCCCCTTCCAATCCAAACCCCTCGGAACAACCCGTTCCCCCCTCGCTTCCTCTCGGCCTTCACTCCAGCCCTCCAAAGCCTACCAATCAGACCGTTGAGAACATGCAGAAGCCCCCTACCAGAGTCTCGAAAATGCCTGCAAAATCCCACCTTGAGCGGAATGGCGATAAATTGGAAGGCTCGAGCTCCGTGGGGGTCGTCAAGCTTGACACCTCTTCACATTCTTCTCATCAATCGAAAGCTGCAGAGCAGCAGTGGGAGAATGCGCCAACTAACAGTTACGCACCACCGGCCATCGCAGTTCCATGGGGTGAAGAGAAGATATTACCCGGACAGTGTGCGGACGACGAGCCTGCATTGTTGAGGAGAGCAAACAACAGTTACAATCGGAGACAGAAGCAAGGAGGGCGGAGACAAGATCGTCCTTTCAATGGCCCGCCACCGAGACAGAGTCCTCGACAGTTTGAAGGGTCGTGGGATGATATGGTTCAAAATGAAGTGTCCAGAGCGCCAACCCAAGCATCGTCTCCATCACCGCGTCCAACAAGCGCGTCTACTTTGTCGGCTGCAATCAAATCAAACGACTTTTCATCAGCTTTAACACGTCAGACTTTGACGAAACCCGAACCAAGCCCTCTGGCACGCCCTGTTTGCTCTCCCATTGCTTTGAACCAGTCGGGGCAACGCATTGATCTAAAACTCCCGCGTGAGACACCCTCTGAGCACGACGCCTTCAGGTTGCGTGTAGGCAACCGACAGTTGTGCAATGAGCACCACATGCGAAACAATTGTAGCGATCCACGATGTATATTCGATCACGAGGAGATCTCGGACGGGATTTATCTTGCATTGAGGAACATAGCTCGGACGATGCCCTGCAATCAAGGTGCAGAATGCCGACGCCACGACTGTTACTTGGCTCACCACTGTCCGAACATTTCCAAGTATTCCACTTGCGGCAGACCGAGCTGTCCATTTGCCAAGAAGGGCTTGCATTCGATTGTCGATTTGGAGATTGTCGAGATGATTCAGCCAACGGAGAAGAAGACGCAGCAAGAGAAGGAGAAGTCGGAGCAAGAAGGGAAGGGAGAGAAGGAAGAGAAGGAAGATCTTATGTGAGAGAATTTGAGGTTGTCTGAGGAAGAAAGGATGCGCAGAGCAAGGCCTGCGAGAGCTATAATTTCAAGGCATCTAGAGGTAAGGTTGCGGTTGGGAAGGCTATCGTTTTGAAATGAGCACCGACGTACCTTCTGCATTCAGAGACCGCTGGTGGAATCGGATGAGTTATATAGGATGCGGAAAACCTCTTGGGATAGGAACACTGCCAACGGCTTTGGGGAGGATTTCGTTTGCATCGTTAGTCATGGTGATTTGTGGCTGACTGGCGACAGCGAGCTACTGGGTAGCGAAACTGTCCCTGGCTTCAGCATGGATCTTGTTTTCATTGTTTGCACGGTGTATTCTGGACGGGCCTTTCAGTGCGAGGTGTCTGTCCAACGCGAACGTCGCAACTCGAGGCCTGTGTGGAAGAACTAATGATTTGTGATGAACTGGCAAACTGAGCGAAACCGTCAGCGAACGACCTAGGAAATGGTAAAGAGAGGGAACACCAACCTGATGAAAGTCATGCTACGGTGCCGATCATGTATTATCGGCAGTGTCCAACTCTTCTTATGTAGGCAATGCCGCAGGGCTGCTCGATTCAAAATATCCCCCGTGCCACAGATTCATGTGCGGTACTCAGTTGGAAATCGTAGCCGAGCCAGGAGTTTTCAGCGCTCTACGAGGTAGCTTATAGCGACTGAAAGCTGCGCCCCGGAGAAAAGCCCTCTCATCAAAAAGTGTCGGGTTTCATGAGGATGAGAATGGTTGCAGTAGCTCTCTGGGCCACAGAAGAAAACAGGCGGTATTCTTTTCTCATATCCTTCATTCGGTGTTCAGTCCCTGTCCATCTTGTCCTCATCGCGATCCTTCCGCCTATCCCTGTCGCGACTCCGGCTCCTAGTCTTGCTCCTGGACTTGCTTCGGCTTCGACTCCTTCCACCTCTGCCGCCGCCGGCACCACGGCCCTTTGTTGCGACGCCGCTGGCTCGGCTGCCTTTATCCTTGGGTGGCGGACGGACGAAGGCGTAGTCGACTGAGATGGTCTGGTCGAGCAGTTTTGCGCCGTCCAGGGCCTTGATGGCGGCTTGCGCTTCGACTTGGGTGGGGTATTCGATTAGAACGTAGCCCTGGCAAAGGCACCCAGTTAGTTAGTTTAGCTGCATTTTTTGTCTTTGGCCTCATCCGCGCCTTTGTTCGTTCCATTGCCATGCCATCCTATGCACGCTCGCACGCTCGCACGCTCCCTCTCTTGCTAGTCCCGATGCGCCCATTTTAGTCAGGTGTAAATCAAATTCATACCTTGACGTACCCAGTCCTCCGGTCCAGATTCAAATGCAAGTTCTTAATGTCTCCGTACTCGGCGAAGAGATCGTGGATGTCCTCCTCGGTGGCTTCCTCGTGGATGTTCGTGGCGATCACGATCCAGCCCTCGATACTGCGGACCGCGACGGCGTTCTGAGCGGTGCGCGCCTCGGAGCCTGCGGTGGCAGAGGAGGGCTTTTTGGTGCCTGTTGGGGAGGAGGTGCCGTTTTTGGACTCGGCTGGAGGAGCCGTGTCCAAGTCCATCTCGGCCGACATGGTTGCGGTGATGTAGAAGACGGTGGCGATCGCCGCGACAGAGGGGAGGGGAGCTGCGAGGGACTCAAGAAAAAAAAGTACTCTGAAGTGGGTTGAAGTAAAGTAAACGGCGAAGCGGTCGGATCGCCTGATCGCCACAGCCGAAGTTTAACCACCAAGACTCGAGGAATTCACTTACAATTCAGAATTGGCCTATTGCATCGTCCTTTTTCTATCTACAAGAGTGTCTACCACTGCGTACATTGCAATTGTCAACCTGAATGTATGTCATCCGCTTGAGTTTGACAGTGGCATATTTTGTTGCCTTCATTGCTTCCTCCGCTCAAGACGCCATCTGCGAGAATCCATGGGTCAAGTCATTGCAATGATGCCAACGACCATCTTAGCCCAGCGTGCCGGACCTTGCTAAAGATTTCCACATCAACATCCCTCAGTGGATCAAGTCCACGAGTGAATGCCACCTAGGGCTGTTTCTTGAGGTGTGAGGCTCTGCATGTCTGACACGCATTTGCGGCTCGGCGTATTCGACTTTCGTCGCCCTTCGTGAGTCATTGTCGGCAAGGCTGAAGATGCCGTTACACTCTAGGGCAGAGGCCCATATTCTCCTCAGCAGCTGGCGAGTCGAACGGCACCCTTGATTTCGATACAAGAGTAGCCCTCAGCCATGTTCGTCTTGTCTTCGTCACCCCGACGCAGCATCAATGCGTATGTCATGTTACTGCCTGCAGAATCTCCTCCACTCCAAAACACAAGGTGGAAAGCAATTCCTCGCTCTGCTTAAGGTCATTGTGCTCAGTCGATGACAATGGACTGCTCGTCCAACTTTACAGTGAAGTGATGTTCTGACGCCGGGTGGTATTTAACTCCAACCATCTCTCGTAGTAGGTGCCATTCTAGGGGTGTCATGCGCAACGTGTGATATATCCGAAGACTTTATCAGTTTCAGACCGCTCTCAAATTCATCCCGATCCAATGGTATATCCACCGCGGTACACACAGACCAATCCAGCAACATCCTTCTTGCCATCATCCACTACCACCTTGGATAGAAGATTCTGATCGGAATACTGCCATGGGGACCCCTGACCCGTTGAACTCCACTTTACCCACTGGGGCTCGCTTGTCCTTTGACTGGGCGTGGAACCTAATGACTTCGAGATGATGTCTCCGTTCATGGAGGTTGAAAAGGCCCGCCCATGCAATTCGAGGTTTTTCCTCAAGAATTTGGAGATGGCTATGGTGAGGGCTGACCTTTCCGCAATCTTCTGGACCCGTCGAGGAGCTATACTGGGTGATAAAAAGCCATGCGGAATGTCGGTGGATTTGGAGATCGATGGACAGCTGACATTGGTTTTCTCCATTGTTTTCAACAGCCGAACAGATGAACTGAACTTGGTGATTCAGAGACGCAAGCACCTCCCATCTCAGCATCTAGCAAACTCCCAAAAAGTTGAAAGTGCATCTCTCCAGTGGTTGGATGGAGGAAGTACAGAATCCCCCCGTTCGCCCCATGGGGAATTGTCAAATTTCTAAGCAGACCATCCTGCTCGGAAGAAGAACTGTTGGCTTCGCTCCGGAAGCGATATAAATGCCTGAAATTGATCGTTCAGCAGCAGAGAAAGCAGATAACACATTTGCAGTACTGTCCTCATTTTTTTGCTCTTCTGGAAGCTGAATGTTGACTTGCTCTTGCTTGTTCTAGGCTTACATGGAAAATCCAGACACACCTCAGTACGGAATGCTCCTTGCTCCATTACCTGTCTCTGTGAGACACACTTTCTCCAGATGTCGACAACTGATTTCTCTTGCCGACCGTCTTAAAAACTGCGGGGAGCAAACATTGAGAACTTCCACCGCCCAGCACAATCCCCATATTGCGCGCAACTCCCACACTTCACTAATACCTGCTGCTCGTCTCGTTTCGTCTCGGGGTGGCGCGGTTTGCTACCACAAAAGGTATTCCTTGACTGTTTCAAAACAATCCCAATATCCAAGATAGATGGATTCCCTCTAGAAAAAGAGGTAAGCAATCAGGAAGCTGATTAGACAAAGTGCAGCCACGATTTGCAGCGGAACCCCTGATTCGTGGCTCTGTTGTACGACCGCCTGGACTTTCTCGTTCGTCTCCTGCGCCTTTCTCTGCCGGAATTGTGGATCTTGCAGTTGGCTTGTCAATTTTTGAATCTGTGTCTTTGCAGCTGCTAATTGTTCCCTCAAATCCTCGTTGGATGTCGATACGGCGCTGGCAACAGTGGAAGCGGCGGTGGTGAGGCCAGTCGCTTCCGCAGCCTTTGCCATTGAAGTCTTTACGGATTCCGCGGCTGATGCATTGGTTGAGGATTGCTGAGCAGGAGAACCGAACTGCGGAGTTGGGGAAGAGTAGGCGGGAGGCTGCTCTTCATGGGAAGATACGCCGTTGGGTGTAGCTGCTGCGGCAGGGAGGAAGCTGACGCGGATTTTTCGTTCTTGAATGGTGTTTTTGGCCGTCTTCTCCACGGTTTGCCAAAGGGTTGTGACATTGGGATCTTGATCGGCCGAAGTGAGGACGGATTGAACGAGGAACTTATCCCGGCATTTGGCGTCAAGTGGAGGTTCTTCTTTCATTGCTTGTAGGAGAACTGTAGACGTTAGCCGGAGGGATTGGGAAACAGCGTCCTAAATCGCACCTTGAACATCGACGGATTCATTGGGTGCGATGATGCCAGAATTCGGTCGCACACAGTATCTGATTCAGTATTAGAGAATCGTGTTGTATCCCCTATTTCTCTGTTACAAAACTCACTGCTTAGGGGCTGTGGTCTTGACCTGTTTGCCATCTGTTAGCATGCGCAGCATCACTAGACAGAGGGTTTGACATACTTTGAAAGCGACAGGTTGGGAATTGCCATTTGTGAGCTTGAGGATCTCGGTGACTTCGCGATTGAAAGGGCCTGCTCAAGTGTGAGTGTATGCCGTGTTCGAAGAGTGAGGGTACTGACGGCGGAAGCCCAGTTCGGACGGCTGGAGGTCTACAGACATGGTGGAGTGTCGATGAAGGCGATTCGCAGTCCTACGGCGAGAGAAACGACGGTCGGAGGGCTTGAGAGAGTAAGACAGAGGACTTAACAGTAAGGGATTGTTTGACGTCTGAAATTGATAGAGGTGCCGAGTGGATTGTTCAGCAAAGACTTGGTAGTCTAGCGAAGCGTAGGGAGACCTATGACGACCAAGTGATGCGCAGGAAGTGAGGGCTGGATTCGGAGAGGCTGGTAGTTAGTAGGATCGCAGAGCCACTCAGGGGCCTTGGTCACCTAACATGTAAGGAGTAGTGGCACCTGCAAGGAGAGGCTACCAGTGGCACTTAGGCGGGTAGAGTGCATCACCCAGCATCACTCTGGGCGTAATGACGCTGATATTTGACGCCTATAAACTAAACCTCACTAGCCTGTAATTCCACCTGCAACCGCTTACCGAGTACATCGAAAGCGCCCCGCGTTAACTCTACTCCTAACTCGGTACTTCGTACTTCGCAAATTCACTCCAACTCCCCGCACCTATGTAACAAGTCAACTATTTGTGCCTCAAAAGACCATCGCCAGCAGCCTTTGTATTCTCTGACTACCGTGTCTTCACTTTCACCGTGCACGACCTTCACACCGATGCCATCATTTTCCGCTACCGCCTAGACGTATTTAAAATCCTCTCCTCTCCTCGCTCCCTAACCTCTCCTCTCCACCTTCCTCCCTCATCAGCCTGACCCGGGCCAAAGAACCGCTCAAGAGACCCCATAGAATACATTGAAAACAAAATGGCGACATCTGACCTAGATCAGTTAGTCATGATGGGCTTCGACAAGGAGCGCAGTGAAATGGCACTGAAGAATACAGGCAGCCGTAAGTGGGCATGATCCTTTCACACCCCTCACCACGTGCTGAATAATGCAACAGTGGCAGACGCGATCGACTGGCTCGACGCGAACTCCTCAAAGTCACTTGAAGAACTGAAAGCCGAGAAGGCCGCAGCAGCAGAGGCAAAGGCAGCAGAGGCAGCCGAAGAGGCACGGAGTCTTGTGTGCAACGAGTGTGGGAAGAAGTTTAGGGGGACTGCCCAGGCCGAGTTTCACGCATCGAAATCTGGCCATACTGACTTCTCGGAATCGACTGAAGAAATTGCACCCTTAACTGAAGAAGAGAAAAAGGCAAAGCTAGCAGAATTGAGAGAAAAGCTAGCTGCCAAGCGGGCAATCCAGTCCGAACAAGACAAGGTCGACAAAAAGCGCAATGAACAGATCAACCGGAAGAAGACTAAGGAAACGGAAGATCTGAAGGAGCAACTCAAGGTCAAAGAGCAGATCAAGGAGGCCGAGAAGAAGAGGCGAGAGAGGCAGGAGGACATCGAAGCAAAGAAGCGGATTCAAGCTAAGATCGCTGCCGATAAAGAGGAACGACGATTGCGAGCGGAGCGGGAAAAGGCTGAGCGCGCTGGGACTACGCCTCCAGCCGCAGCAGCAGCTCCTCCGGCAGCGGCACCAGCAGCGTCCAAGCCAGCCTCAGAGTATAAGGAGACACGATTAAGGCTACAAACATCGACGGGAAACATTATGAAGACCTTCCCTGTCGAGACAACCTTGTTCGAGGTGGCGGCTGCTGTAGGGGAAGAAACCGGTCGGGATGTCGAAAGCTTTACACAGAATTTCCCGAGAAAGGTCTTCAACCAGGAGTACTTTGGAGAGAGTCTGAAGGATCTCAAGCTCGTGCCCAGTGCCAGCTTGATTGTGAAGTAGGTCTGGTTTCGTTTGCTCTGCGTGCTGCCTTTGATTCTTCATTGCGAAGGCGTTCGAGCTGGGCTTCTTACAAGGTCGTTTCTCTGAGGGTTGCTGACCAATGAACACAAGGGACTATCCATTGCCCTGGTAGCACTTGGGGCATTGGAGTTCATGGGACATATAGATAAAGCAGACATTCCTCTCGGAGAATATCTAGCTTGAAAATCACAAGATTTTGAGGCTGGTCTGATTTTGTCAAAGACGACAGATCACAAGCGCCAAAGGTTCCTACAGCCCAACCCCACCAAGCCCTAATCCGCGTCTCTTGCTCCTCGATCCATTCATCCTCTCGTACAAGACCTCCCTTCATGTCTTCCGCGACGAACCACATCACCAAGAGAACGGCATATCACATTCTCGAATCGTCCCCATTCTGTTCCACCTTGGCCAATACACCAGTTCGATACCGTCGATCGATGTCGAGCAAGGAATAAAAGAGAGCATGGTATCTGTACTCTGGTGATGGAATGCGAAATGAGAACAAGAAACGCCCTATCGCTCCATCAGAAATATGTCAGAAGTATAGAAGGCCATCCACGCCAGACTTTCTCTTTCATTGTCCCCAATTTCCACGCCGAAACCATCCAGAACCTGACCTAGATCTCACAGGCGGACTAGGGAATGCTGATCTCTTCGACAAGAGCGTTGCGCAGAATAACTCGTAGGTCTCCAGGATGCATGATTTCTCTTCTGCTCGGAGCAAGACTGGTCGTGTGTATACGCCTGCCAACACCTTCCGCGAGCGTGCATTCATGGCGAAAACTTCCAGGCAGAATATCCAGCTGCGGCTATCTCCAGAATCCTCAGGTCTCTTCGATGAACGAGATGACAGCTTCGGAAAGTATTCCAAACCGCAATCTAGCACGACTCAGGAGAGCAGCACCTAGGATCATCCCGAACCACTCTCTCTGTGGGAAGCGATTACTTGGAGTGGACAGACCGTACTATTCCTAGACTGAAGAAGAGACTGTCTTTTTTGGCGCCCAAAATTCGGAGACAATTGGTTGCTTTTCGCCTTTTCGATACTGACTCAGTGGGCACCGATTCCAGCAGGTGGCGCCCTGATAAGAGCATCCCCAAGTCGGTACTGGCTTTCTCTGAAGTACCGATTCATCGCCCCTATGCTGATGGGGTTTCTCGAGTAGTAATATGCGGAAGAAGAAGTGCTCGAAAGGGAGATGGCCGAAACCACCGTTTCTGAAGAGCTGTCTGAAAGGAGGGACGAAAACGAGGAAATGGAAGAGACACAGGACCTCTTCCATTTTGGTGATGCCATGTTGTGGAATGCAGTGTTCTCAGCGGCTTGACGGTGTCCATCCTGCACCGGATCCGTCTGGACTCCGGCGTCTGAATACGTGGGACGTCGTCGAAGCGGAAGCATGGGTTGTCGACGTTGATTCATACTAGACACATCTGGCCACGCTTCTTTCAAAGCCGGGTCCTCGTGGCTTTTGTTCCTTTCGTGCGACGCTCTCAGTGACAGCACTCCTGCGATTGCAATGCTCCGCGGTCTGATTCTCTTCTTGAGCCCTTGCCGCCGTTGTTGCGTCGGTAAGCGCTGTTGTTGATCGTCCTCTCGGCTCCTATTGTCCTCTGGGTGCGAAAATGTGTGCGACTTTCTTCGAAACGCCATTCGTTGGTCATCCACATTCGCCCCGGCTTGTATGACCGATTTATGATGAACACTGCTGCTGTTCACATTTTCTCGCAGATTGGTGTTGATGTGGGATATCCGCTCGTACCGGTCGAAGGCGAAGAATTCGTCGTTATGACCAAGGGAGACTTGAAGAGTTTCGAAGTCCCTACTCGTCCCGTCGGGAGGGAAAAGCCATTCATCGAGGGCGCAAGGGAGGCCATGTCTTTCTGACAGAGAAAAAAACAAGGTCAGTCAAAATTGGTGGGTTCTTGTGCGAGGCAAAGCGAAATGGTTTTCTCCGTCTTCTTCTCACCTTGTCTATATTCCCCGTATCTGTCCTGCCAGCAGATATAATATCGGTCGAAAGCACCAAATGCATACACAAGGATCTTGTCGACACTCTCTAAGTGTCCGAGAAGGCTGTTCAGCGAGACGTCGACGCTCGGTGGTCTCTGTGGCTTCGTCACAGTCCTGTGTCGAACGATCAGTTCTGGGTTTCTCCAATCACCCTCTTTCTCTCCATTAGAACTTACTCGTTGTCCAAGTCGAAAGCTGCGACGCTGCCAGGGTGTATGGATGCCATTGATGATTTCCACCAGGAGGAGGGAACTCTTCTATGGCATTATCCTCTTTTGCTGGATACTTTTGCTCTGATGGCCTATGAATCATCAACGTTATAACGGAAGCAAACAGTTCTCGTCAAGAACACATAGCGTCTACCTCTCACACTTGTTGTGGGGTCTCGAAATCTGGCCTTGTTCAGGGGATTGATGATTGATGCCGTCAGGCCACTCAGCTCATGATATCCCTTATGAAGCACAGAATGTCGCACCCAGTCCCCCAACACCAGCGGGCCTCTTACACTGTTGGCAATCTCACACCTCCGCTGTGACACGTTCATGTCGCAATGGAATCTGCGGTCTTGTTGGAGCTTCAACGGTCAACCTGTCGATCCGTTAATCCGTCAGAGTTCGTTCTAGAATCTTTTACAGCTGGAAATCTACGAATACGAAGTTCTTTGGCACTATGCAATGCAAACAATGGTGTATGTGGTTTCTGGGGTCTGGAATAGCTTTTCTATTCTCAGACTTCCCCATGTACCTTGCTACCTGAGAGCATTCTTGAGTATCTTTAGAACCTCAGGTAGTTTGCTTTGCCTGTTCCTGTTGCCGCAGATCCAGATCCCTTTTCCACCTCTTTTCCCTCCTCCACAATTCGACCTCCAAGACCCTTGTTCCCTGGGGAACCTTTGATCGCAGGCCGTCATCGTCACGGTCGAAATACAGAGCCCACAGACCTGGCTCTTCCTCGACTACCACAAATCCCTCCCATCCCTCCAGAGTCATCCGGCGGTCTTGCCTGGTGCAATCCCATGGCCCTGTCACGTTGGGCTGGGCGTCTACCCGTAGACCGTATTTGACCTCGTGCGTGCGCTTGTCGACGTAGATCCAGTTCAACATCGGCGGGGTATCGCAGATGGTCGAGACGAGGCCTTCGTACTTTGCCTCTGGATATGGGAGGAAATATCCGGCGAAAGGATGTCCAAGTGGTTGTTTATCGGCCTCTTCATCGTCGTCAAAATCATCGTCAATATCAATACCAACACTCCTCGACCTCGTGACGACCTTGTCAATATAGAGCTAGACGGCCATCTACATCAGTAAACCCAATGCACATAATCATGGACACTACTCTCTGAAGAGAGCAGCCCACTCGCTTACCTTCTGGTCTCGCAGCACGATCCGCCGACCATCAATCTCTTGATTCCTGGTCGATGCCTTCACACATGTCGCGACCAGGTTGCACCGTCGAGCGCGGTGTTCCTCTCGCCTATCCTTTGCCTGGCCCTGCCGGATGGCTTCCGCTGTCGCCAGCATTGCTGGGCATGTTATGAGCGCGACAACCACGGAGAGCACCATACTCGGGCGCTCGCTTCAATGGAACACGTGAGACTGTACTCCGTACTTGTTATATCGGTTTCAGGTCTTGAGTGGCGTGATTATCCTCCGGAGTTGTGGTATGTACCTAGTACGATGGGATCGCAGGTGGAAATAGTTGGGCCCCCCTTTTTTTTTCTCGCGAGAGGTTGGGGTGGTCTGCTGCTTCGACCACGCGAAGTTGCCATGGTGGGAGATCGCTGTCCTACATATTATTGTACCTGGGGCCTGGAATGGCGCATTGGTTTGCTCTTGCATCGAGTCATGCCACGTTTGTTATGATACCCAGAGGTGGCCAGATCTGGGGTTCAGCCTGGAACAGGTTCGCCTGGTCGGTTTCACGTCCTAATCGGCTTAGGCTGTGACAAGAGAATGGTTGCTCGTCTCAGCCTTGCGACTCCTCCTGTTTCTAGGACCACAAACCCACTTCGACAGCTACCCGAAGCCATCAGGCCACAGTTACTTACTCGCCGCTGTGTTGAATTTGTGCAAGCTTGGGCTAGGAGATCTCTGGAATTGTATGAAGCGACACTCCAGACACAGGAACCCCCTTTCTCCCTGACCCTGCAGCTCATCTTTCCCCATAGTATCGATGGCGTTTCAGACCAAAGATGCTGGCTTTGCTGGGAACATAAAAGAGAAGAAGACATCGCTTTTACTGAGATACACTTTCATCCTCATCTACATCAACGAAAACAAACACTTCAACTCATAGACCGCTGAGTCGTCTGGAACGACTGACGAAGACATCAAGTATCACCTTATTATTGCCTAATCCTGACACTTCTTCCTTCACGCCCGTGTTGATCTTGAGTCTCTTCTCGTCCACCTGATCTTCCACACAATCACCATGTCTGCAACGTATGTAGATCTCCTCGTCGGGTGTGCACGACTCAGAGGCTGACCAAGTTCCAGAGCTGCATACAGCAACACCGCGGATAAGGGTTACTCTAGCGGCAGCGAAGACGGACAAGCAGCAGGCCAGCGGAAGGCGCTGGCTACAACCAACGGCTCATCAGCATTACCCCTACCGCCCACCTCGGATTACCTATCGCAACCAGCGGGTATGTTACGTCAGCGCGTTACACGCTTGACCACTCCTGTCCATTCTCGAGCCACTTTTCTTGATCTCTCCGGGGTTCTTTTGGTCTTCTCTTTTCTGTCTCACACTGACTTGCTCCATCGGTCTAGGCGGTCTGCTCAAGGGCGCAACCGATGAAAATGGCAACCTCAAGCCCGCGGCGCTCATGGTCGGTATCAAACTTGACCTAGAGGCAGAGGTCCATTTGACAGCCCGAGTTCGAGGCGACATCACGATTGGCTTGTATTGAACGGGGAAATGGAAAACGAGACCAGTTTGCCCTCGACCATGACAGCGGATGGCCAAGTCACGAGGCTCTCTGGCTGCAGGTTCAGCTCAGGAAGGCCGATGACTGCTCATCAAGCACGCCAATTCGGACGAGAAGCAAAAAAACTTCTGTGTTGGGAAGATGTTCGAGTCGCGCACTGATAACCCTGGAAAGACCAGGTTTGCTGAACTCATGCTCTGACTCGGCCCAACATCGCCGTCAGGACCACAGATACGTACAATACATACCAATAGGATAAGACGAAAATGCGTATCTCAAACCATTCGAATTGAAGTTGGGAAGTCAACGTGTACTGCGAAATGCCGGTGCTTGTGGCGGTGAGGACAGCGCTACATGTCCTTGCTCCGCCATCAGGGCCAAAGTGCCGTTGACGGATGGAACGAGACTGCTGATAGAGGAGGGCTGAGGTAACTTCGGGAGATCCGAACAAGCCAAATGCAAGCTTCTCATCGCATTCCTTTGTAGTTTTGCTCTCCTCCTCTGTTCAAACTTGTCCATACCTAGGTACCCAGATCAGTCGCGAACGAAAAACCTGCTTCATTACGGTCTCGACTCGAGGGCGAGCGCAGGCCGCTTTTAACCTGAGCTTTGACCTGGTTTTCACCCGAGCAATCCGTGAGCAGAACACCGAGCTGCAAAAGAGAGGTTCTGTTGACAGCAGAATGCTACTGTGGCAAGCCTATCAATCCACCAATGCTTCAACGAAGGCCTCTCTATGACAGCCTCGGTGCCACCGTTGGTCGATAACAAGGTCTGGACAGATCTGGCCAGGTCCAGATCTATTCAGCAGACCACTTGTTGCCACAGTGTAAATAGTATATAGACAGGCAGAGTCTCTCTGAAGAGCCAGCAGCACACAATCAAGCAGACAGATCCACTCTCATTCTGTGTACTGGGTACAACAGGTCCAATCTAGCTTCTTAGCGATCGGCTAAACCTGCTCCTAGCAAGACATGTCATTCAGCTTAATCTCAGCAAGTCTCAGTGAGCCTCTCAGATCCCAATCCCTATGCTCCTCTCCTAGAATTCCTTCCGCATCGCTCCCTCGATGATTTTAGGTCGTAGAGGCAAAATCCGAGACGCGCACGCAAAAGGTGATCAGGGTCTACGAAGTTGTATAGTAATACCAATAAACTGCTCTACGAGAAGTAGTGGGGGAGATTGTGGCATACTACTTCCGTTATACTGATCCTACGGTCCCCCCCAGCCTCGCCTATGTATCTGACACAGTGTGATGATGCTCAGGCAAACTTGGGACGTACATAAATCCCACTTTCGCCTTCAATGCCCGGGGAATCTTGGCAAATGAGATCCCAAGGGTCGGGAAACAGGCAGAATTCCGGTTGAGGAGGGTCTGACCCTACCCCGTAGACTCTCACCAGGATGTAAACATCGGTTTGGGTGACCGGCGTCGAAAATCGTCGCGAGTACTTCTTCGCCATGGAGATCTGGTTGTTACTCAGGAGGGCCGGTGCACTCAGCCTCCCCAGTGTGGTCTTCGCTTTCAAGTGATATGTGATGTTCGACTGGTCGCTCGGGTACTCGAAGGTTGGGATTTGCTCCCTCAGATACCGACGCATTCTCCCTTCGGTGTCCCCGTATGTGAAGTCGGCGAAGTCTTTTCGCGAAACCCGCTGCTCAATTGGCTTGAAAAGACCTTTTTTCGATTCCGGCTAGTCCAGTTCTCTGGTGTGAACGACGGCGATAACTTTTCTTCCAAGAACTTGTAGACCTAAAGTTTTGTTTGTTAGAAACCTGAATTGAAACAAAACATGATCGCGTGTCCTCACCAGATGTTCTCCAGCAAATCCGATCTCGTGCGGCGTGTCCGCAAGAGTTTCTTGAGCGATGAAGCTGTTTCCTCCGTAGTTGATCCTACCGGATCTTCCAGAGGACAGGTGACCGCCTACTCGTTGAATTGTCCGGGTTGGGGTTACCAGTTGTCCGTGTGTATGATCTGATGAGGAGTATAGCGCATCTGAATCGGACTGGAAATCTTGAGAGCTGTCAACAATGATGCGGGAGATCGCTGACTCATTCGTTCCTGTTTGATTCCTTGCGCCAACATCTGTATTTTTCACAAGATGTTGAGAAGCGGGTGGATTGAAAGTGAACTGAAATGAGGTTCCGCCGCCAAAATCTGGTATTTGTGATTCGCTAGATTCTGGTCTTGAAGGAGTGGATGTCGTAGATCGATGGTGAAAAACGTCATGGGTTGCGTCGGACAGCTTTGCGTTACTCAGCCTCTCGACCAAGGGCGCGATAGTCTCGGTTGTAGCAGCTGGGCCGGTCGCGGTGATAGCAATGGATTGTACTCCGCTGATAGAAGTATGGGCTGAACTTCTCCTTAATGATATTGGCGAGGAGATCCCTGCATCGCTTCTTCTTCTTCGACTCTGTGCACTTGGCGTTGGTGATAGTCTTTGCTGTTGGAGTTCCCGGAATTCCGTCTCTGAAACACGATCCTCCTCCACTTCGCTGATCTGTAATTGTCTGAAAGTTAACCCAAGGCTTTCGGTGGGATCCTCAGCAAGGATGGCGTCGTCAGAATCTTCGTCGGGTTCAGGTCCAGTCGCAACTTCGGCGATGGCTGTTGGAGATATGCTGACACCTGCTCTCTCAAGTCCTTCAATAACTTGCTCGACTCTCGTCATCGTAAGCACGTTCGCTAGGAGTTCCCGACTAGTGTCTCCCAGGTCAAAGCGTTCGGCGAAACGTTCTGCTAATGGGACAATGATATCCGTGATCTCTAGACCTTGTCGAATCTTAACATGCAGCTTTGTGTCCGCATCCACTAAGAGGACCTCTCCCTGATCGTCCTGGCCGTACTTTTTGTTGCCGTTGGCATCAAGAACAAAGCGCTTGACGATAATCTTTGGAACTCGAAAAACCATTATATCGCTAAGCATTGCCGTCACCTTCTTAGCGTTCAGAGTGCTCTTGTCGTTATAACATATAATACTTGAATCTGTCAGTCACAGATGGGTGCCCCCGTAAAATACTAGGTACTTACCCGATGATATACGGACTTTGTCCTCGAAGCCTGTCGGTAAGATCGGGATCCAGTTCCTGGACCCCCTGCTTTGGCTGGGTCTCTTCTTTCTCCACGCTCCTCGATAAACGTTTGGAGTCCATTGACAACTTATCAAAAATGTTGTCCATTGATGATTCGAAGAGACCCCAGTTATGTCGAGTAACGGCAAAAGTCTTTAAACTTCGATTTAGCCGGTTCAAGTCTGCAATCCAGAATTGATCCTGCGCTCGAAGCAAAGTCGTCCTTGGAGCGTGATTGTTGGATTCACCTTGACTGACGGGAAAAATGCGAAACTCAAGCAATTCTCGTCGTTAAAACATTAAAAGAAAAGTCTCGCCGAGGAAGGAGTCGAGCGCAGGCAGCATTTTGTGGCATAAGAGACTGGTATGCTCGGGCCCAGCCCGTGACTCCATGCTACGGAACTCTGAGATCAAATCGTCAAGTACTGCATTCCTTACTCCCAACAGTTTCTGGAAGAGCCTCTGACACTCTCGATAGATTTTGGAGAGAACGTACACTTTCGTACAGGGAAATGAGGCTTTCCATACGCATTGGTATAGCAAAACCCATCTGCCGGGGTCAACGTATATCAAATCCCAATTGAGGAAATTCTCTCTTCTTGATCGCCGTCAGCAGCCACCAGGTTGAAGATATACTCAACTTACAGCTTTGGGATTTCTAATGCTGGGTATGTTGCGATTGATTTGTAAACAGTTGTTGCCAACTTTTTCACTTGTTCCTGTTTATTGCCTGCTTTCAGAGACCGGAGCTGTTCCAAGTTGAGCCGTTTTTCGCCAGTATATGTCTCATTGCGTTTGATAGTCGTCCATTCGACAGCAAGGGAGGCAACACAACCACTCCTTCTAATGAGGACAGGAATCGACACCAGTCTTGACTCTCGTGACCTGCGATTGCGTCTTCGTAGTCTGTATGTAGCCATAAAACATCACTGAAGTCATCTGAAAAAAGCCGTCTGACGGCCCTTCCTTCTGTGCCGAATGGAAGCTGACCTTTCTCCTGATATCGAATAGTGAGCTTAGAGTCAACGAGGCAAATGCTGAGTGGGTAGCCAAATTGACGCCAATAGCGAGCATGGAAGAGATACACCGCATGTGCAATGATGTCTTTCGGCCTCCAGGTCCTGGCTGTTGCGTGAGACCGGACTATCATTCTGCATATCTCAGTCGCATCAGATGGTTTGACTCCTGATAGGCGGTAGAGCTTGTTGCGGTAGCGATCACCGGCAACACATGACTGTACGAAGCAAACGTCGAGTCCAGATGGGAGGGACATACGGTGATTCTGATGTAAAAAGACGTTGATGACCTGGCACCAATCACCAGAGACCCATGAGCCACCTTCAAGCAGGATGATTCGAAGTGCTTTGAAGGCCAAATATTCTGTTGACCAATACTTTCTATCTGAGAAATGTTTGTAGAGAAGCCTTGCCACACGGGAGTGCCATGCTCCTGTCTTTGACGAGAAACCTGTACTATCCTGGATATGGCTCAGATGCTCGATGAAATGAGAGATTCTGTAAGGAGCGACACCCATTGTCGCTAGAATCGAGGATGACTTCGTAGAGTATGCCCTCGATCTGACCCGGAGGGCGTACGGACTCTCAGTGATCAGAAGTTCACCTGTTGTGCCTCGAAAATCATCTGATGCGGTCAATGCGTCCTGAGGAGCAAGGAAGACACCACCGAGTAACTCCGTTTGAACCAGTGGCTTTGATCGAAGTTGAGCGGTAGTAGCATTGGCAACAACTTTCATGAACGGGTTGTAAATAAACCGTAAAGATCCCAAATACTCAGGTCAGTGATACTTCATACGAGGGTTCGTCGATGCTGCCAGCCGTTCAAAGGCAAAGCAGAGCGCTTCTGGCAAACGGGTTTGGAGGGATTCATTCCATGTTCGGTTATCCACATCTTCTCGATTTGCAGTCGAGATGAAATCGGTATGAATGATAAACTGTGCAACTGTTAGGGCTGAGACACTTCGCAAGGGATGCCGTTATCATACCTCAAATCCAAAGTGATCCACTGGTAAGTATGCATAGGTCTTTGCATTTTGATAAGGTGTTGCTGGTTGTATTGCGGAAAAGCAAGCACGATTGTAGTTTCATCGTTGCCAGATTGAACCTGAGCTCCAGGCTGCCGTTGAGGCATGCCTCTAAACGTACGCCGAAATGTGACATAATTCATTGTCGATTCGGGTTGGTCGTTGATCCTCGTCTCGATTCTTTCGCAATCAGGCCGTAAATGATTGAGCTGTCCAAGCTTCTCAAACGGCTGTCCGGCCGAGACCTTCAAATTGATAACTTTGATTTTCCGGGTAAACAGTAAGAACTTGAAATCGAATGATGGAAGATGGTGGTGCAAAGTGGACACATCAAGGTCAGCTTTGAACTACAGACAGATTGATGTTCCTAGAAAGTCCTGTGCTTGATCAAGCCAAATTAGTAGAACCGTTCCTACTGAACTGGGGCGAGGCTACTAGCCATGGGTATCAACTCGTACGGCGGTGGGTATAGCCTCTTCCCAACGCGCACACTCAACTAGGGGAAGTCCTCTCTATTGGTAACTTAGTTAATTAATTCTCTATGAAAAAATAATAGTCCCCCGAGGACTATATAAGAAGGACCCTAGTCTAGGGTCGACGCCCCAGCCAATCATAACGCTATCCACCACTTCAAACTTCTCCCATTACACTACATTGCCGAGTGGCGGTTGGGTATCCAGTTTGAAAGAATAGACACCCGAGTGGATGTTGACCACATCCGCAATTTTGAAAAGCGGCTTGAAGCCAATGCCCTTTTCCCCGATCTTGTCATCCTGGCCGGCCTTGGAAACTGCATCCCACCGAACACAGCGATTCGGCGTCGAGCCTGGTGCAGCCGGCTTGATTAGTCTGGTAAGTCAGAGAATTGTTCGTGGAGATGAAATCCACGCGCTATTCGCTATCATCCGCATTCTGGAGCAGTTCCCAGAAAAAGTGAGTGAGGTCGCCGTAGAGGCAATCAGCTACATTTTCAATCCGCTAGAAAGGCCGCGAATGTTGATGTCATTCTCAATGTCGATGGCATTTCCAGCGATGTGGCGTCTGGTCCAGAATGACTTGATATGTTCCTTCGCTTCTGCGCGTGTGGGCAGGGCCACTCTCTAAACAGACGAAGATTCCATAGTGAAGGATAGAAGACAGGCGGATCACACAAATAACAAATAATGTTGAATCAAGCCAAATGCCGTAGTCCAAACATGAGATGACCCAAGACACTACCGCACCCGGCGAAATTTGCATAGTTTCCCAGAACATGTGTAGTTGACTCAAACGCATTGACGAGAAAGGAAGAATTCCTTGGGCGTGAATAGTTGAGCAGAATGTACGTGTACATCTGGCTTGAACTTCTTCACTCGAAACGCAAAGGGTAATAACAGGTGAGGCGCAGGCTCCCAATCCTGGACAATGCTGTACTAAGCTTGTGAAGATAGGGGTCTTCGAGCCGCTCGTTACTCCGTGACAAGGCAACTGAGGTTTGAATCTCCGGGCGGTGCCATAGGCTGAGAACGCTTCCCAAAAGGTCGATTAGGCACATTGAGGATGCCTCCCAATCCCGGCGGTCGATAAACTTTTAGCCTCCAAAGGTGTGAAGGGCAGGTAGCTGTAGGATGGGAGGTGCATATCTTGAGACGACTACGAGCGCCACGGAGAGGTGACCAAGGGGTGTTGGGCAACGCGTGACGCGCGGCAGAAGCTGGGTGGTTTTGCATCGTAATGCACAGCCGGATTCATCAATGGGTGCACCCATGAACGAAGACGCGGTGTAGAATGCCATCGGTCGGCAAAAAAGTGCACCAAGGACTTGAATCATTCTAAAATGAAGGATAGAATTAAACAGCATTTCGAAGAAGTGTTGCCGAAAAGCAAAAGGTCATCATGTACTTCTTGCAACCAAGAGGGTTTGAGGTGAAAACAGGGTTTGAGGTGAAAACAGGGTTTGAAGCAGACCAAATCCATTTTACATGTACCGTCTATGCGCCCGCCGAAGCATGTGAAACCCCCGAAGAGGGACTGAGGTGGGCATCACTGAGCGCTTACTTAGGTACGAGGTAGTGATTTTATTCTTGACATTTGCCTAAAACATGGAGACCGTCTCCATAAGCGTTAGGCTGTGAAGGAGCAGGGGGTTGGATACTGGCTAGATAATATCCCGCTACCTCGTACTGTATGCTAAGCCTCCATTCAGGCAGATACACTGGGGCAAACCAGAAGACCTTCTCCTTCCCATATGTAGGCAATTGTCTGTATCAGCGGTATTTCTCTCCTCTGAGAGAGGCTCAAATGGTTGCCCAACAACGCTCACCATAGGGGTGATCTCTCCAGAAATGTCACCTCGCTAGTTAGCATGTGCATATCTAAGAATGTCACCATTCGGACATTTCCCTGCAAAATTGGGTGCAGATGCTCCCCTAAATGACGCCCTTGCCTAGCGGCCGTCGTGACTAGTGAGGGTACCAGGCCAAAGTTTGCTGAGGTGTGGCTGTTGTAGCTCTGCGCCCGGCCTAGCTGGCCCTGAGTTGCGCCTTGAGCAGCCCCGACCGCAAACCATGGTATCTATCCCTGACCCCATTGAACTTCAGTCTCTAGAGTACGAGGTATTCTCGCTACTGATAGTCCTCGGCATATATTTGTTTCCAAAATAGGTGATGGATACGAGGTAGAAAGAGTGAATTGGTCCCGCTCCCTCGCAGACAGCTATGCAAAGGCAGTTGTTTATGTACCCCTAAATCGGTGAACGAATAGCACTGCAGCCGGTCTCAATGCCTATTGAACAGACAATCGTATAGGCTCCTGCGCCTATCTATCACGGTGCCTTTCGCGATTCCATACGGAGATATGAGACTATCTAATATTTGGCTGCCCATTTTCCACCTGTTCGCTGTAAATAAAACCTACTTCTTACATGGAGGCTCGTAACACGCCATAGCGACACAATAGAACGATACCTCTGCAGATATACCCGTCTTGACCCTTCCAATGGCCGGCCTTCCTCGGCCTCGCCAATCATCCTATGACATTGTCGGTTCCTCTAGAATGGGCACAATTTAGGCGTCTCACCTTTCCTCGATTACGGGTGTTTCGGCTGTAGACTACAGGATTCAGCATCAGCTTTTAGGTGTCTAACTGGGCGCATATCACAATATCTATTCATTCACCAATTGGAGACAGCCACATCACAGGCTTAGAGAGAAACAACTACAATGTCAACCTCACTCTGGCCGACATTCACAGTCACAACAACGCCCTCAGTCTCGCGCACTGTTGTTGTCTGCTTCGGCGTGGTGTCAACATAGACTGCCCAGTCTCCTCGAGGCAGATTTTTGACCGTAAACATCACTTCTCGTGGATTTTCGGTCCAACTCTTCAGGGTAACGACCATAGCACGCGCCTCGTCGTCCCAGATCCCTCTCAGGAAGTCCACGCCGTCTGCGAAGCTCAATCCGTCTACCCACGGTCGCTGGGCGAGGATTTCGTGCGTCCAGGGCTGTTCCCACATCTTCTTCTGCCCATCCTTGACATTTAGCCGAGAGTACCCGATGCCAGAATTACCCGAATGAGGCTCCATGTGGACCATATTGTGTTCATCATCAAAGAGCTCGTCGTTGCGCGGATAGAACAGGCCGCCATTCTCCCAAGTCGGATTGAGGTGCGAGTCGATGTATTCGAGGAGATCGTTGAGCTCTTTTTCTTTTCCTAGCTCCGACAGCATCTGGGTAAAGCAGTTCCAGCTTATTGTTTCGAAAGGGAATACCGGGTTTGTGAATTGAGTAGAGATCTCGCGGGCCTTGCGCAGGGTCTCCGGACTCTGAGGATCCTCCCCATGCTCCAGCACCAGCTTCCGGAATCCAAGAGCTACTCGGGTAGGCTGAAGACGAGTTTTTCCGGCGATGTTGGTCAAGAATCCAAGGACCTGGCTGTCGTACAACGAGTGCACCTTTTCAGAGTTCCAGGTGTTCATGTAGGCATTTGCCCTTTTCCTATCAGTGCTGTCATACACCTCCTGACCATGAAGTACTCACCAAGCGGTATGCGCTCCTTGCCTTGCGGGAATAGCCTGGCGCTGCTTCAGAGCAAAAAAACTCGGGTACAGGCCGCTATTGGTGATCATGCCTCTGCGGATGAGTGAAGCTTCGTACTTTTTCAGGACTTCTTCCACGTTGTTTGTACCATCGCGGCTGTCATTGTATCTCATGGCAATGATCTTATCGATGGTCAGTCTATGCCGCCTGGGGACGGAATCTCTGGAGACTGGGCTCACTGGAAACTGATTGCACACCACAAACACCGCATTCGGTTCACAGCACACGCCCACCCAGTCATTCTCCTCCATCTGCTGGAAAATTACCTTCTGCAAGCTGCGATTGTCGTACCTGAAATCCTCTCTGCCCAAGCCCCAGAACAAAGGACTCCACTGGAAGGTCAAGCTGCCTTCCTTTTCGAATTCGTCGTCGTCAAAGAGCATAGCGTACAGGCTGGTCATCAACAACAAGTGGCCTGAGTACATGATGTTTTCCTTGATGACCGGGTCCGCCCAGGGTTTCCGGAGTTCTTTCAGGTCCGGATCGAGAAGGTTTCCCCCATGACTTGTGTTGAACCAATATCCCCAAACCTCTCGGCGAAGCATCTTGTGTATGATCCGTCGCAGGAGCGCTTTGAACGCACTTCTCATGGCCGGAAGACGATGGTAATGAGCGACACCAGTGGCGTAGGCCATCGTCGCCAACTGGTACCTGTACGCATCATCCCATTCCTGCTGGGCCTCGAGGGTGCCGAAGTGATGCCACTCGCCGTCAGGTTGCGAGACAAGATTATGGAAGTGTCGCAGATGGCCGGCCTGTAAAGCGTCCAGTTTGGGATATTTCGAGATCTCAACGGGAGGATGAGCCGAAACAGTCAGAGTCCCAGTGGCGGTAGTGGTGGTAGTGGTGGTTCCGATGGTCATCGTTGCCGTCGTCATCTCTGGGAGGATGATCGGAGTCGTTCCTGTTGTTCATGGACCCGTTCGAAGTCATGGAAGGTACTTCGGTAGGCAATGCTCTGATGTATTGTTATATGACTTACCGCACTTTGCAGGACATTTACTCGTATATAAAACGCAGCCTCGGCTCATTGAATCGGTAGATGCTTCGCATACGAATTGCTCCCGAAGACCGGCCTCTGCGGGTCGCTTTGCGGACACGGAGTGGTTGACAGAAGCGAATACGCATCCCCACACAACTTTTGTATGTGAGCCACGCTACGAGTGCGTATCGAATGCTAACACCCATTTGATTGCGGAGTTGAAATCGTACTAATATGTCAGACTTTAGATTCGCCGGAGCATATTAATGTGATTTAAATGATATCTCAAGATTACTCAACACTTCTTCTTACATCAGCTAATGGATTCCAAAATGCATGCCATAGGTCAATTCTTTCTGAAGAACCAGAGATAGTTCATGTCAGAAGTCGGCATATCTTACCGGGAGTCGAGCATAATAGGAAGTTTGAAGAATAGACCTTCTCCGACCATCTGCCCTCGGAAACCGTAGGACGATTTGATGTTAGAGGGGGAGCGAAGACTGCTTAAACCTGAGCTTTAACTGAGCTACTAAATGAACGTCATCGAAAGGCTCCTTGAGCACTCCCCGAGCCACGCGCCATGGGCACCAAATCTAGCCCTCTAAAAAAAGCCCACACTTGCCCCTCGGCTAGGCACCTGATTTCAGACAGATTTCACGGAACCTGGTAGATTCCCTGCCCTTACACTGCTGCTTAAATTTCCTTGTAACCTTGGCACTGGCGTTTGCAACAGGGCTGCAGAACCGTAGCGCGGTGATTAGGAGATCATGGCTCATTTTTCCCGTGCTACCTACTAATATTTTCACGCCGCCCCAAATTTTGGATGGTTGTTATCCCGCTTGTCGTCTTCGGGAGCTCGATCCAGGCTGGAAAAAGGTATGACTGAGAATCCAATGTTTGATCACACATCCCCTTCCCCATCGCAAACACTTCTAAGGCGCCGGGGAGGCTTTCTTATTCCTTCAAAACATTCTCCACATGCACTTTGGCCGTGTTATGACGAGGTCCAAGTCTATTCTCACAGTGCTGAGCATCCTTGCAACAAGCGTGCTATCACCGTCTTCCAACAGCCAGCGTCGTATCGGATAGGCTTTATTGCTCTTCTGGTGATCTCGAGCCGACCCTTTTCGCTATGCTTGGACGTTGTTGGCGGTAGACCTTGGCTACTTGCTCTGCCTGTATTGGCCTAGCTAATCGCATCCCAGGCTGAGTGTAATGTACTCACCATTCACCGCCCTTATTGTCGTCTTCCGTCGTTTGGCCTCGTGAAGCGACAGCGCCCCTTGCTTGTTGATCTCGTTCGTGGATGTTCTTTTTGCCACCTTTGGCATATGAGCCAATGCATGCCAGGGTGTATTTATCGACCTTAGACGAATTGTGAACCTCAACACCCATTTTGGACGTCCCCAACAGACCAAAGCCTCCGTCTCAATTTCCCTCATCGCTTTAGAGGACATTTGTCGACTGATAGCGTGACGATTGATGCAGGCTTCTATTCAACTGCTGCAGCAGAGCAGGTGAAAGTCCACGCCCTCCTAAAGTTCCCTTATGTACATCATGATCTCTATCATCTAAGGCTACTCATGCCACTGACATGAGATCACGAATATCAACTTGACAATTTACTTTTTCATCACTGCCATAAGTATCTAACACAGTTACCGGGCGAGTTGCCAGCCTCAGGCGGTTGTAGCCTCCTAACCAAATACGGAAATTATCATTGTGACTGATTGGTTGAGAATCGCCACAGCATCCTGCTTCAGCCAGCTCCTACATAGAGGCATGGTATCCCCCAAGAAACCGGTGCCATCAACAAATCAGAGGGCGATAGTTTTCTGTCTCATATTTTTAATTTATCGTCGTTACATTAGCTCCAAGATCCTGCGAAATATCCAAAGCGTTATATTCACCAGAACACACTATGAATTTTCGGCATCACCAGCCGGGCAATTGTGGACGGGCAAAAGCCATAACGTCAGATGCCTGGGAGGGTATCCGGGACGTCTTGGAGGATTTCTACTTCAATCGTAAATTTTCCGTGCAGGATGCAGCTAGGTGTATGGAGAAGAACAATGACTTTCATGCCAGGTGTGTTAATCATCTAATCAATCAAAGTCGGATCGTTGAGGATAGCAGTATTCCCCAGTACACGACTCAATTTCGGGCTTGGGGTTTGAAGAAGAAAGTGCCAGGAGCTGTCAAGCGTGAGGCTGCGCGCAAGCTATACGAAAATCCACGACGGTCAAATTTATCATATCACGACAAACCTATCTTTATCGACGGTATTCAATGTTTTGTTGCAAGAAATCCTGGATTTGACCCCAAATCCAGATCTTCGCGTCGGCTCCTCCCATATAGCTTCAAGATCGAGTCTCACAACAACAGCGACCCCTCGTCAATTTTATGGGACACCAAGAGTGAGCCGGATGTTGCCTCCACAGCGGCAATAGTCCAGCTACGCAGCCACTCGGAGCTTGATCTTGGCTGCACTGCAAATCCGAACAACACATCTATCAACGCAGGTCCCGCAATTATGATCTGAAGACCTGGGTCTTCAGCTCCAGGAGAATCGCTGACGATTGTACTCCTTGACGGCGACCGATATCTTCCGAGTACTATCGACCCTAGACGGTTGATTCGGGCCCAAGAGCTACTCGATGGAGATATACATACAGAAGGATTGTGGTGTGGGACCGAACCTCTTGCGAATCATCCCAGCATGCCACATGTGGGCTACCAGCGCCTTACTCAGTCCGACAGCGCCAGAGTTGCGCTGCATCGATCTAAGAGGCTAGTTGACGGAGATCCTCTCACATCGACCGCATCGCCGACACGTCCTTCTCCCCAATGCAACAGAGAACTCGAAGCAGCTTTGCGAGCGAGCAACCCAAGTCCGTCCGATGTAGATGGGGGCGAACCATCGCATCCCCGGCAACCGAGTTTTAAAATGACCTACGCCGGGTTCGGTTGGTCCGTGTGGTTGCGTCTATTACGCTATCCTGCAGAGTACCTGTTATCACTGTCATACGCCGACAAGATGGTGAGACGCAACATTCTTGACGCCGAGTATGAGCTCTTGCAGGACCTGGAAAGCTGGCGTTTAGCCCACTAATAACTCATCTCAAGTTTCCAGCAGGTTTTGGGCGTTGCTGAGGAGACGTTATTTGCAGATCAAGCTCAAATACCGACCCTGACTGCAGCGCTCGGATTCCCATTAGAATTGGCCACAGCTGAGAAGCATGGATTGAAAGTTACGAGACTGAAGCTACATTTAGAGCTCCTGTTGTGTAGAAGTCTGCATTGCGACACCTGGCAGTTGAAGACTTCAAGAATTACCAGCAACGAGTGTTGGTCTCCAACCCCGAGACGTGCTCTCAGTACGAATTGAAAGCAGTCTACGCTAGAACCCGGAGAATGTTGGTGTCTGATCCCGAAGGATGCAGATAACAGATATTGGCATGAAAATCGTGCTAGGCTCGGAGGGTTGATGGTATATCTCTGGAACGTTGACTGCAAGTCCCACGAATGTCGCAGGTGGGTTCTATGGTGCTGTTATTCCTGCGGTGACAGTGGTAATTCTGACCAGCTAGCGGTAGAGTGTCCAATGTGCTGTCATACCCGTTGCGAGAATGTTGAGTAGAGATGTGTTCGACGAAGGGTCCTTGGTGGATCGCGTGTTAATTGAAAAAAAGAGAAGCATCTATTAATAATATTAGTGCAGAAAAGTTGACTATTGGCCGAATTAGTCCGTCGATACCGTTGTTTGAGCAGGTGATGAGAAGACTAACCATATCTGGTCTAGCTGAAGCGGTGTCATAATATCGACCAGGTTCAATGCACTTGAAGCGGGCTTTTGACTTTGGAGTTTGTAGCTGCTCCTCGGCGATCTCATGTTCAGCTCTTGTCGCTTGTCTACCACCGTTTCCAGATCCGCCGAGCTCAAAGTCGCCGAGCACTAGTATGTCGACCGCCACAGAGACTCAGTCCATCAGCAGGGCCCGTCAGACAAATTTGTCAAACACTGCGAAGGTTGACGATAGAGGTACAACGGAAGAGCTGGGCCACAAGAAACGGTTTGCAGAAGACAAGTTTTTTTGGACATACACGGAGGAGCCTCACCGCACCCGGCGACAGGCCATCATAAAATCACACAAGGAAATCCTGCAACTGTGCGGTCCAGAACCGCTAACGAAATATGTGGTCCTCCTCGTCGTTCTGCTACAGATCCTCTGCGCCTACCTCCTCAAAGACTCTGCCTTTTTCTCATGGCAGTTCTTCCTTACAGCATACATAATTGGCGCCACTGCGAACCAGAATCTCTTCCTCGCTATCCACGAGATCAGCCATAATTTGGCTTTCCGGACAGGCATCTACAACAGACTCTTCGCCATCTTCGCAAATCTTCCCATCGGGATACCCTACTCGGCCGGATTCCGACAGTATCATTTGACTCATCATAAATCGTTGGGCGTGGATGGTGTAGACACGGATCTCCCTACAGCACTTGAGGCGATCTTCTTGGACTCGGTTCTCGGCAAGGCTTTTTTCTGCACATTTCAGCTGATATTTTACGCAATTCGGCCGATGATGGTGTACAAGATACCCTTCGGTCCAATCCACTATTGCAATATTGGAGCTCAAATCGTCTTCGATATCCTGATCATCCGATTTTTGGGCTGGAAAGCTTTCTCCTATCTGCTCACGAGCTCATTCCTAGCTGGTTCTCTACACCCATGCGCTGCTCACTTCATCTCAGAGCACTATGTCTTCGCCAAATCTACTCTCGAGAATGGAAAGGTTCCGAAAGATGTGCCTATTCCAGAGACGTATTCTTATTACGGCCCACTCAACGCCCTCACTTACAATGTCGGGTATCACAAC